GCTTGCTCACTTCAGCCTCTTCTTCTTCTTCTTCTTAGCTTTATGCCCGCCTCTATATACCTGAGTGTATATATATACACATACTTCAATGGAATTCCTCGTGCAAGAATATATATATGCAGCTTGACGAGCTAGCTCTCTCTCTCTCTCTTTCTATCGAATAGAAGAAAATCTACACGAGCATTCAACGTCTTGTTCGTCTTTAGCCACTGCGTATAGCACGCGAGAGATGCAAAATCGGGTAGGGATGGAGTGTGCTGCTGCTTGCACCCATATGCGCTAGAGAGACCGGTTGTGGTTGTATATAAACTTATTATACCAGCCCGAGATTGCTACCGTAAGTACATCCTGAGACTCCTGTACGGACACTTCTAGAGGCAAGGTCGTCTTTCCTCTTTGCTCGCTCGGCAGGATTGCTCGTTCGCTCGCGCAAGCACACACAACCGCACCGACGACGATCGTGAAAAACAAAAACGGTCAAAAGATGTTATTGTTGCTGTTGAGCTGTAGAACTATATAGCAAGAGAATGAGCTCGAAGGGATAGCGCGAGCGCCTAGGTGCACATATACGTGCCGGGGCTAATGGAGCATTAAAAATTCCGAGAAACAATAGCCGCCGCAAGTTCATTGCTAGTCGCCGCGTCGCGTCGCGCGCACAGCGTTAATTGGTATTTATATATCGTCCGAGGGTCGACGAGGAATTTTTATGAGCCCAAGCTCGAGAGCTTATATGGGGATAACTATATACTACGATGTGTACGAGGCAAAACTGTCCTGGGATCTTGAGTATTTCAACGTATATAATGGCCAATGTGTAGTGGTGCACGCGAGGCCAGTGACAGATTTCGGGTGATAATATCGATCGTTTGAAACTGTACGATTACCCTCGTTTAACAGCTGGCGTGGTGAGAAAAAGAGACAGAGACAGAGAGAGAGAAAGAAAGAGACGAAGGAATCATTCTAACGGCAACCCATCGGGTCAAGGACTTTTCTCTTCTTCTCTCTCTTTCTCGTTCACGATATAGGCTCTGTATACGTATAATACTGAATCTCTTACAGGGGCAATAAAACATCGAGTTGTAAATTCACCGTGCGGAAATCGGCAGCAGCGGCGGCGCAACGAGGCCTCGGCTCCGATCGACAAAATATATATAAAGCTTGCACGCTCTAATGACTCGAGTCAAACGAGGTCGTAAAATAAACGAGATCGGTATGTACACGAGTCCGCTATGGATCGACTCGCACGCGCGTGAAAAATCGAGATCCATATTGCAAGCTTTCCGTAATATCAAGATTTTAAAATCGGCGATGATCCCCTCGCGGTCGCGATGCGTGTTATACCGATCTCGCTTGCGACCAGTCGTAATGACTCGTCAAGAGTGAGCGAGCGAGAGAGAGAACGAGTAAATGTAATGAAGATATTAAAAATTAATGGCTCGGACACTTCTCGTGGCTTGGGATATTATACAGCTCGTTCAAGTGTTTCATTTTCTTTGTTTTTATTTCACCGTTTTGTTGTTTTGACTACCGAATGAATTACTCGATACGTATATTGTACAGAAATTTTTGTCGCCAGGCGAATGAATGAAAACAAATAAATAAAGAACCGGTCGAGCGCGACGGACGACGCATTTGTAACGCGCGTCGGCGGGACACCTGTTTACATATACACAGAAAAGTCTACAAAAATAGGATCGGGAAGTAACACTTTTGTACCGTCAAAACAATAAATATATAATAATACTCACCGGCACGCGAGAACGAGCTCGATATGCATCAGTATATTGAGACGTTCGCCATGGTGAAATAATAATTGCACATGTGCGATTCGAAGGCATATACATATGCGTCATATACACGTATGTGTATAAGCTGCATAAACTCATTAAACGAAAGCGCGAGTCTGCTGCCATGCCGATCGTCCGGCCAGGATAAGCGCGCTCAGCTCGGCTCGCGTATATATATGGTATACGTATAACCCAGGTGTGGCGATATATATACATATAATATACGAACAGAGAGAAGAAGGGAGCGGAAGGAAGGAAGGGCTGGGCATTACGATCGTAGAGCATATATATACTTGTATACGGCGTATATATATATACGGGTAGGGCCGGACGGAAGACCTTCTTTTCTGCTATACACACGGGAAGGTGGGCAGAAGTACTGCTGCTGCTGCTGCTACTTTTGCTCCTGCCCGTTGCTACCTTATACTGTGGCACGAGCAGCGCAAAAGCGGATATGTCTCGATGCTTCTTGTATAACCCTGCGCTCGTTGCTATATACGGCCGGTTTAATCCACGAGCGTATAACTCACTATATAGTTGTATATAATAATACACACGCGTATAGAAGCGCAGAGAGAGAGAGAGGATGATTCATCGCGAATAAAGAGAAAATATAATACGCAACGTGCCTTCCGTTTGTGCGCTGTGTTCTTTTTTTGTTGCTGTTGTTGGAATTGTTGTTAAATATAACGACGAGCGAGAAGGGGGATTAGATTGCGCAGTAGCGGCTAATTCTCGGGCAGTTGCGCGAAGAATACGAAACATTTTTTTCGACACACGCATACACACGGACAATCGTTGAGAAATTGACAAGAGACTCTTCGTGTGTGTCTATATATCGAGTTCTTGACGCGCGGACTAGACAAGTATCATCGCGTACGGCACACACATAGCGGGTGAAAGAGTTATGGGGAGAGCTCAAATATGCCAAGACAAACGAACTTGAAGAATAAGAGAGAAAGAAATGTGTGCTGTGTGTGTGTGGGTCTATATGCCCGAGACACGTAACCTGTTTAAAGCAATCATCTCTCGTTCTCTCGAAAGAAACATTTTAATGATACTTGGTCAATTAAGCTCTTGCGGGAGAGAGAGAGAGAACCGAAAGAGTTTAGCTCGAACGAGCGACCAAGAGTCGAGCGAATTCTTGCCGATATGATTCGACTTTGCTTATATTATTACGCCAATATAAGGCACGTACGAATAACAGCAACGCGGAAGAGGATCATTCGATTCGGAGCTCGCGAAGAAAAAAGAGAGGAGAAGAAAACAAATAAGAACAAAAAAACGAAAAGAAAGAAACGTAACGATGGTGAAAATTTTTTGGGGACGGGGGAGCGGCCCATCGCAGATATCTTTCTCTCTTTCGGAGGCGAGCGAGAGAGATCCGAGAAAGAGTAGTATGTGTAAGAGAATAATAATACACGAGGTGTGCACGTGCGGCCCAAGATTCCCTTCCGCCTCCTTATACTTATACGGTATACAATAATATACAGTGGGCTAAGCTGCTTTCGGTAGGTAGGTAGGTAGGTAGGTACTCCTCTCTTTTTTTTTACTTTTTTCGGGACCGCGAAGGGGACCGCTCAACTGCCTCTGCTCTACAATAGTCGTTCCATATATACACACACACAGATTTATAATATGCGCCAATGTACGCGTGTGTGTGCGGTTGGGCTTCTTTGGGAGACCACCTATGGTGTAGCGCGCCCTGGCCCACAATAACGTACTTATATATACCGCTGGCGCTGCAAATTACTCGTGAATGCACCGCTTAAACGAGTCTCTCTGCCGGGGCCTCAAACGAGCAACGGTCGACGTCAGTTAAAGTTTTAGAAGCAGCCGCGTGCGCGAGAGTATATAAATGCGCGCGCGCGCGTGTAATCACGGAATTAATTAAGCGCATCGGCCTGCACACGGGACACACCCACGCTCGCTCGCCCGCGCGTTCCTTTATACACGACGAGTAGAGTATTTTGAGGCGAAGCGAGCATGAAACGCGACCGACTGCACGTACCTATATGTAGGACTGCAACGATCCTTAAAGTCTGACCGCAGAAGCAAAAATCCGCCCCGCGAGCAGATCTCGGTTGCTTTACACCGCGGGGGGATGAGAGAGAGAAAAAGGAGCCGAGACTGCTGCACGTATGCACGTACGCGAGTATGTGCGAGTCGCTGCTGCTGCTGCAGCCACCTGAGTAGGTATGTGCAGATAAAAAGAGGAGCAAGTCGACGAAGGCAGGAGCGAGCTAAGCGACCTTGAGAAAGATCTTATGCCGGAGAGCGATTCCCTCTTTCTCTCGAATATTCACGCACGCAGGACATAGAGAGAGAGAGAGACGCGCGAAGGAACGAGTGTGGCGGCATCGATCTTTCAAGCCCCCGAGAGAAACTGTACCTTACTGCTGCCACTGGTACTACTAGTCGGCACACAAGCCTTTTCGCGCTCACGAAAAATGCAAAGCGAGTCAGCGGAGCTAAACGTGCAGTGCTCGGTCTTGTATACCTAGGCAGCTTCTCTCTGTATACGCGATGATCCTTGCGCCTGGACGACAGTATATATTATGGTGTACAACATACATATATAGCATATGAGGCACACACACACACACACACACACATACGGAACAAGAAAGAGAGAGAAAGAGAGAGAGAGAGAGAGAGAGAGAAAAGATTCCTCGAGCGAGGTCAAGCGCGCCTCGCGTTCAGGGACGGATAAGGCGCTCTCGTGGCGCTCCGTCGAGTGCATCCCGATGGAAAAACTCTCGCGCCCGTGTCCGCCGTGGGAATTCTCGGACTGTAGTGAGTAGTGTACACTGTCGCGCGGAGGGCAGGGGCAGAAGCAGGAGGAAGAGGCGAGATCATCCCCGCGAGGTTGACAAAAGGACACTCTCTCGCGCCGATGCCGCTAAGATGACGCGCCGTGTAGCACCGTTGCAGCGTGCAGCGCGCCTTACTCCGAAAAAGGAGTCTCCGAGCCATCGGAATTCGCACGATATATACATAATATACAGCACGCGCGCACTACAACACACGAGTGTGGAGCAACAGCAGCAGCAACCTGTTGGCGCGTTGTTGGCGCTCCCGCCTAAAAGGATCCTGCAGCCTTTATGTATAATACTCCGATGGCTTATATTCTCTCTCTGTATTTTTCGTATGTATATATAGTTACAGGTATGTGTACCGATGCCGCATATATAATATGCAACACACCCTTACCTCATTCTTCTTGTGCGGGTGCATCACGATTTCTTTGGTTTACTGCTTGTAAATACGTATGCGTGAGCGTGTACGATGCGCCTCGAGTCGTGTGCACCTATTTCGATTATGTAGACTCCTTTGCTCTTTCAAAAACACGAGCGATGCTGCTGTTATCCTTTTGATTTCGTTGGATATTTGATTTGTCGCGCTTTGTCGCGGTTGTCACGATCCGATCGAGACTAGTTGCTCCTTCGTTGCTTCTGCACTGTCACCGACGTCGTCGTCGTTGCGCCGACGCCCGCGGAGACGTCAACAACACCATCGAAAAGCATTTCTCGCATCTTTTCAACACCAAGTGCCAAAGAGCAAATGATTATTTTGCCTGACAACTTTTTGTCATAACTCGTGAGGACGATGCTCGATGCACTTTCACACACTTGCACAATTATACACACCCGCGCACAAACAGGACTAGCACGATGATTTCCACATACACTGGTTGCACGCGTAGCACACGGAGAGGCCTCAACACTGCACTAGCTGGTACTCACTTGTTGGATTATAATCTTATATAGGTGTACAGTGTTGCAATTGCTCCAAATGCAGCAGACTAGACACCGAAAACCCGAGGTAAAATATAAACAAATGAACGAACCAACGAATCTCGCGAGAATATATGATTTCTTAAACTTTTTTTGTTGCTTACAACGCAAACATCCCCGAGCAATGTATAAAGTGCATAAGCGCGCGGCCGCGCAACCAACGGACCGAGAGCAGCAACGCGATCGTCTTCCTTTTGGAGAACGCGCGACAAAATACAACAACGTATATATGTATAAAAGATGCCTACACCACACCGTGGTGTACGTTATACATAAGCCAACACGGTGTGTGTCTGTGTGTCGACTCGCGCGGCGTTCGATCGACGACTGTCGACTGCTGCCTGCCTGCCCCGGCCGCCTAGCTATACTCGGTTCGCTCGCAGCCGCGATATATATATATTCGCGCAGCTTCGCCGCCCGTATAGTGTGGCTGTACCGACTTCGCGCCCCTCGGCGGCAGCGGCAGTACAGTACGGCATACGTACTCCGACTTGGAGGCCGCAAAAGCAACGGATATATAACACGTTCGGCGCTCGAGTTGCACCGCTGCTATATACCATAGCCGTTAAAGCCGCCACCGTAGCACTATGCCTCGTTATTTTATCAACTTTCGCGTTATCATTATCGCGGAGTAAGTAGGCTAACCAACTCGAATGATGGACCTTTGGTTATTTGAATAATTATTACAATTATTATAGCTGTATTTTCAAATAAGAATAATAGGTCTTGAGTAAATCGATCCTTGCACATTACAAAATAACCGATCCTATATCTAGTAAAAGCTCTTCGATTTTTTGAATATTATCCCGACTCGTAAAACGGGACGAATCAACACTTACGCCAAAAAAAAAAAAAAAATGAGCGTAAAAAACATGTGTGCCCTAATCAACGTAAACAATTTTTACTTGTCATTGTTGGATGCTACACTACATTAAAAACACTCGTTTAAGAATCAAGTTTGTTTTTTTATTATCCTTTTTAATTTCTAGCTTTTACATGTAATAAACATTACTGTTTTGCACGAATAAATGTATATTTTTTAATTCAAGTGTACAATATAGAAATTATATCAATATTTATAATATAATTCACGGACAGTTCACGCAGTTATTCATTCTTTTTTTGCATGATTAGCTGATACCATTGGGCAATCGCTTTTATTATTATGGCATTTTCCCAGTTCGTTTTACTTTGCTTGGAAATCTTAACGAGGCGCTGCCGTGTGAGTTCGCTGGAGGAGAGAGAGAAGAAATTCATTTCCACGGCACCGTTTTACACAATACACCGATAAAAGTTCATTTACATACGACACTTTACCTTACACTTAAATACCTATTAATTAGAAATCCTAAGCTCGACAAAAACGGTATAGTTCATCCAACTCATTTTTTTCTTTTTTTTTTATAATTCTTTCTCCCTTTGAGTCAAGTCGTCAAGTATTACACATTTACATAAAGTTCACAATTGTTTATACAATATGATATAATAATGTATCAGATCGTCTCGTGCTTTGCCGATATAAAACGAGCTATCTAATTTTTATCAAATTTTTAAATGTATAATTATTGATTATTTTTACGCATGATTTTGAGCCACGCGCCGTTTTAAAAATTTTCTAGTGCTACTCAACACAACGTGGCAAGTGGCGAAAACACTCTTTAATATGAACAATGAGTTATACGTACAACAAAGAAACATCGTTCATAAGCATTTCATTTCTTTTTTTCGCCGATTCTTTTTGGTTCCTTGATTATGCAATTCGATTATTGTTATCCACCTACTTTTATCGTCTTTCGTTTCTTAATCATTCTGAATCACGCCAATTTCATTAGCATATAAAAATCTTGCGTAAACATACACGATTTAAGAATATCGGTATAGCAACAGAACTATTGAACTTGCTTGACTGCATAAAACGTTTAAGGCAAAACTACAATGAACATTCAAAAGATTGGAAAAATTTCAATTTATGTTGGCAAAAGTATGAAAGCATGATTACATTATTAAGATTGTCAGCAAAATAATTTATCCTTATTATTCAAGCAAAACAATTGAACAATGCAATTACAACAGTTAATACTTTTTTCGCTATTAAAACAATCTACACTTACCCCTATTTATTTCACTTTTTATCATAAATTTCAATATAATGTACATCGATAGGTGAAAGCCGATCTTTTGCTTCATGCCATGTATTCATTAGCTCACAGATCGATTTTCCAAATAAATTAAAAAAAATGAACGGTCGAAATCATCAAATTTATTATTCACAGAATGTATCAGATAACGTAAATATATAATCACGAATGTATAAATATAAAACTGTTCACAATGACTTTAGCTTATGAATATAACAGTTAGCTATTTAAAAATATAGTTCACGATTAGTCTAATATAGATGTATTCTATATTTTATCAAATAAATTGGTGTGAATATTTTAAGCTTCAATGTTACATGAAAATGTGTTTTGCAACCCTTATACTTTATTTTGTAAAGAAAAAATGCACTGTGAATGAATAAGTAGCAGGTATATATATTCTGTCAACGTCATCCAAAAATTGTTCTTATTGTTACTGCTTTTTTTATAATTCCTGACAGCCAAAAGCTACTTTAAATAACTATCACCTCGTCTAATGCAATAAGGAAAGTAAGAAATTTTATATTTTTATGTAAATAACAGCTTTACTAGTTGGCGGTTAGCTCATAGATACTTGTCCATTGGCCAGCAATCGTTCAACAGCAGCATTAATGTCTCCAAAAGTAGCGATTAGTGCTGGAGAAAAGAAATTAATAAACATTTAATTATTTTACGGCAAAACAAAACAACAGATTTGTTAGAGTAAACGAAATAATTGTATAATTACCCTGTAAATTGGCATCTCTATTTAAAAAACCCATTGCCGCCAATTGCTCCAGTTGAGCCCTGTATCTCTCTTCTGGAGGAGGCTGTTGGCCGTCAATTTCACCACCCTGATTTAAAGCCATAGCCGAAATCTAGAAAAGTATATTATTGTTGAATACATCAATGTTAATCAAAACTTATCATAAAATGTCAGTTTAAAAATCGCGAGGCATACCATTCTTGACATGAATTGTGAGAAAGCATCTTGATTTGATGAATCAGTAGGGGCTGAAGAAGTAGTTGTACTAGTAGTGCTTGTATTAGTTGTGGGCGTTGAAGTTGGTGCAGCACTTGGAGTTGCTGGTGTGCTTGCTGGGCTTGGAGGAACCGTCATTCCCATGCTATATAATTGAGAAATTAGGACATTCAGTTCAATACACACTTGTTATTAATAAATGTTCAAATTCTATTCAAACTTACTTTCCAACTAGATCAGGAGCAATATTTCGCAATTGCTCCATTCCTTGTTGAATTTGCATGATGGCCGAAAAGGCTTCAGGATTAGTGATAAGATTTTGCATTTGTGGATTTTGCATCTGTTGTAGCAAAGCAGGCATCATCGATTGCATTTGTTCTTGCATTTGAGGATTGCCCCTGAAGAATGGATTCGAAGAAAGCACTCTACTGGCCATAGCTGGGTCTGCAGCCATAGCTTCCATCATATTACGGGTGTAGGGAGCATTCAACATATTGCGTAAAAGAGCAGGATTTTCCATCATTTGCGCTGTAAGACTTTGCATACCAGGGGTATCCAACAATCCTCTTACTCCACCAGTTCCAAATCCAAATCCAGCTCCTGTGCCTGTTCCTGCTCCTGTAGTTGCAGTTGGCGTAGTTCCAGTTGATGGAGTGCCAGAATTGCTTTGTGCGCCATTCTGTCCTTGACTCCATGGATTAGGTAGGGGGTCTCTATTTTCCTGACCTTGTTGAGGATTTTGTATATCAGCATTGTTACTATTGTCAACTAAGGCAGCAAAAGGATTTCTTTCATTTGCAGCTGCTGCAAGCATGGGTTCTTGTATGTCTCTGTACATTCTTCTAAGTGCACTGTAACCTCCCGGAATGCTTTCCAAATTGGACAATGCTCTGTCATGAGAGCGCATAAGTTCTTGCAACATAGATGGGTTGCGAGCTAATTCCATCGTTTGCCTATCAAAAATCATAAGCATTTTAAATTTTATTTTAATATTATTAAAAATTTTAATTTTTTTAATGATTTAAAAAATACCTGAGAATATCTGGATTATTCAACATGTGACTTATTTCTGGATTACGCTGCATCAATTCTTGCATTTGAGGATTAGCCGTTAACAAACTGCGCATACTGTCAGGATCACTCATCATACTTTGCACTAAAGGATTATCAAAAACTTGTCTCAATGAGTCGGAATTTGTCATTAACTCTCGTTGCATTCTTTGCTGCAATTCCATAAAATTTGTTGAACCTAATCCAAGACTGTCTAAACCAGCTAAACCACCTAATCCTCCTAATCCAAAAGGAGAAGCACTAGGATTAGCTACACAAAAAAAAAAACAAATGGATTAGTAAGTATTTTAAATCACAGAGGAAATAGCTCTTTAAATCATTATATGAAAGAAACTCGTACCGGTTGGGGCATCAGGAGTCGTAGAGCTAACTCCACCAGATTCTTGATTATTTTGACCTGCTGAGCTTCGTGGAGCTTTAATAACCAAGTGCACTGTCAAACCATCCTTAATGTTGTGGTTCTTGAGATTTTCATGATCTTTCATGATTTTTCCAGCGAAAATGAGACATAGCTGATCTGGCTGGGCGTTGAATTTTTTCGCGACAACTTCTTTGAACTAAATTTTGGACAAAAATACGAGCATTTTTTTATTGAAAAATATAAAAATAACCTGCGAAACAGTGGCGTACAGCTAGTGTTATTGCGCACTCCCGCACTATAGAGCACAGAGCGTACGATAACTTACATCCTTGATCGATGCATCCTCCTCGATTTCGACGATTTGTTTATCTTTGGGCGTCTTGATGGTGATGTTGATTTTCTTCGCACTTTCCTGGCCCTCTGCCATCTTGAAACGCGCTACTGATGACTCGTTGCTTTCGATTCGTATATAGGCTTTGCAAAATTGTTCTTCACCGTGACTGAAAACTATGCGGAATGACTTTTAATTGACGTGCTGTGAACCAAGTGGCTGGCTGGCTTATACTCCGCTGCTGCCTCACTCGCACACACTACTATCACCGACCGTGCTATATACTCTATCTCGTGGCCTGCCTGCGTGCTCTGCGGTGCTTGCTACTGCTACCTCTCTGTACTGTATTGCGCTGAGACAGACACGACTGACGGGCTAAAATACACACGTACACGGTACACGAGTCGTTTTACACACAGACACGTATTTACGCACAAACACTAACTCACCGACTAGTATGAGAGCTCCCTAATATGCAACTTTTTCTCGTATGACCAATATAAGTAAGGCCGAGGCTCTCGTGACTCGTCTGACTGAGTATAATCGCTCGCTATTATCATCGATACTAGTAATGTCTGTACTGCTGCGGATCAATCCGTACGTAACGCCGATTCGCCTACTTTGCTACGTATTACGGATGCCGAGAGGTTGTTCTGCTTACAGCGGTACCTTCGAGAATAATACACATTATAGTATGAGCAATGGATAAGCGCGATGTCGCAAAAAGAGCCTCGTGTGCTGCCCTGATATGTTGACTCTGATAGCACTTACGTGGTCTTGCGGAATTGCAACTATTGCAATCGCAGCACTGAGTTGCGATGCGTCTCGACGGTTGAAAACATCAGATGATGCAACCGCCGCACTAGGGATTTGTTATTGTAATTTTATTATTATTGTCAAGTGCAGGATAATTCATTCATTGCGCCAACAAATTTTGAGAATAAAAATATTGGCTTGTTTTCGGAGCAGAGTAGTGATAACAGAGGTTAAATGTAATACCAACTGTACCCTGTGGAAAGTTTCTACCCACTAGAATTTTCTCAGCGCACCAAAGGTTAATATTATATTAATTATTTTGAGGATTTAGGGGGTTTAATTATAGGGTAACCTGCCAGTTATCGGGTTTGGTACTACTTTTTAAAGATAATCAAAAATTAGGAGCAAAGAGTACATTAGACGTGCTGTGTATAAGTCAAATTTTAAATCGTGATTTCAAACTTGATATTTCGATTGTAGATGTTGCCACATCCCATCTTGACTAAAGCCAAAAGTAACTTGACTGATTAAAAGTAATTTTAAGCGACTTCACTTTTTTTAAGCAGGAAAAAGAATACATTAAAAGAAAAAAAATCAATTTGAATACTTGAAAGAATATTAAAGAAAGAGAAAGAATTTTTTAAAAGAGGATTCAAGAGGTGACGCACTCGGTTTGATTATGGCTATAAAGTCACGTTAAAGTTTTTAGATTGGCAGTTTTAATTATAAGGTGTACTCAATACGATTTAGTTTTAAAGAAATAAATGCTGCATGTAATGAAACCAAATATTTTATTTATATAATTTTCAAATTTTGTTAAAATATCTACAAGTATGAAAGTTTCTTGTGTCAAGTATTTGCAGTCTCAATGATCGCTGAAAGAATTGATGAGCAGACATTAATCTGAGGGATTTCTTTCCCAAGCCACTGTATTCTTCTTCAAAGTTTGGTATTCCTCCAAATCTGAAAAATGCAGTCCTTCTTCTTGGTACTTAATAAGGCATCAGCCTTGGTAAGCGCTGGGATGCACTTATACCGTAGTCGATTGCAGCTTCATCTGGCAAAAAAATCTTTTCAACCATGATTTCCAAAAGCCTTTTTCCACTTGGCATGGAAAGATCCAATATGCTCATACTTTATGCCTGTTAAAAAAATATGATTATTAGTCTTTATTGCAAAGCAGGATCAAATTCATTGTAGTAAATTATTACCCACCAGTACTGTTTGTTAATTCATTCATGTGGTTTAAATTTAAACCGCTATCAGAAAAACCGGTTAGCAATCGCACCAAATCTTCTTCTGGTTTGGTCTCACTGAAGAATAGGCAACACTTGAATATATTATAGTACCGCCAACTAACTTTTTCTCCACGTTTGGGTGGTGCCAATTGCAGAGGTAGTTTTTCATTATCCTTTTGTAGCCTTACGTATTGCGATCCATTTTTCAACAGCTTCTCTAACCATCTAGTAACTTCTCTGGCTTGAATACTAAACTTTTTCATTTCATCTAGAGCTGATAAAACTGCAAAAAAAAAACATAAAATCATAAAAATATTGAACATTGATAAATTGTAAATTATAATTTTTTATGAATACAAAATTAATGTAAAGTTTACCTGTTAATGGTATGACAATGATAAATTGTTTAGAGTAAACAAGATGTTTTATGATAGCCAGATATCTTGTTAAAGCCTCATGATCAGGAACTAAGTATGGTGGTAATAATTGAACATCTCCTTTGGATTTATTTTCCTCTTCTTTTTCTTCTCTCCACAATTGAGCCATATTTTTCATGAGTAATTCTTTTGAGGGATTGATAATTATTTTCTGTGGAGGTTTCAATACTTGAGATCTTACAAACTCTCGCTCTTCAGGACAATTATAAATGAATGTATGACTTTCTTCATCATATCTTAATCCTGATTTTTTTACAGAGCATAACTGCATACCAAATTTAATTATTCTAGATACTCTCAAATAAGCTTCCTCACAACGGGTCATTGTTTTTGTGACAAAAAATTCCCAGTCAATTTCAGAATGAGCTTGTTGAAAAATTGTCATATTTCTCAACTCCACATCTTCTGGTAAAGGTGCTGCTTCAAGTTTGATGTTATTTTTCAAAGAAGTACCATTCTCAAAAGTAAAAGATTGAAAGACATCATAGCTATCAATGTTTATCAGGTTCAACATAGTTGTAAAGTGTTCCATAACTGTTTTTAATTGATTGGAAAAAGTATGTATAACATCCTGTCTACCATGTAACCAGTCACAGAAAATTTTTATTGCACTCAACATTTTTTCCTCTCCCATACCTTGAATAACATTTTCAAGACTTTGTTGAGGCTTTCTACTATCTATATTTTTTGCAAAAACAGTATTTTCACCAACTGTGCTGGAACATTGAGCTTCAATTTCTTTTCCAACTTTTTGATCTTCACTCGTTACTGTAGTTGTACTGTAATCAGTATGAACCTCATCTGAAGAATCAGATAACTCATCATCTGATGAAGATTCATCACTATAGTATGTTCCATTTGTCCTTCTATAAGGACTTTTACATATTCCATCATCTGACTCATCATCACTAGAATCAGAATAAATTTTCACTCTCCGTTTTCTTCTGCCTTTCAGAATCAATGGAAGGGCTTTTTTGAAAGCATTTTGTGTATCATCAATGCCATTCTCTTTTATATTCAATTCTTCTGGTTTTTCTTTTGTAGAATCATCTTTAATATTCATATCAGAAGTAAGATTGACACATGTTGTGACATCTATTAAACTGTTTCGACTTGAAGATGGACTTAATTGAGGCACATTTGAAAGATAATCTTGCAATTTTCCATTAGAAAACTTCAACAGCTCTTCAACAAATTCTAGCATAAATTTTATTACTCTATGATTATCATTATTTTGCTTTTTAGAAATCTCCATTAAACAAATGGCCATCAATTTGAAAGTAAAATAATTTGCAGAATAGTTTTTTTCATTTTTCAAAGAATTTTCAGAGATACTATTATTATCTATAGATTTGTGATCAATCAAGTCCAAATTTATTGCATTCAAGCAATTCTCTAAGTCTTGCTGTATTGTACTTTCTTTTAAATGAGAATTATTGAAATGAGAACTTTTATGACGCCATGATATCAAAATTTTGCAAAATTTTGCAACAAAATTTTTGATATTGTTGTCTTCATCTGTAGAGCCACGAGAATATTTTAAAATAGTACTCTCAAGATTTCTCTCTGAACCAGGAAATGGTTTTGGGCAAATTGTACTGAAAATATATGAAATATTATTTAATGACAGAAAATAAACATTTAAAAAAGATTATATGCTTTAATATACATGTTCATGTAATTAAATTTTGTACACTAACCATTTCAGAAAGTAATAAACTGCATCCAATCCATAATTTTTGTCTCCAGCAAGATGCGCCAATTGATTATAAGGCATTCCATTTTTTGGATCTAATGTTATTGCCGTTTTATAAAATCTTGAAGCAATAGATGGATTCCAGTCAGGCTCTAAATTTAGTTTTAATCTGTATCTGGCTAAATCTCCCAGACATATGTAACACCGTTGAGTAAAGCGGGAAACGCAATTTTTTATTTCTGTTGAAAGCTTATCTTGGTTATACTTTTCAGTAAAATTTCCAGCCTTTGACCAGCATGTATAATCTACTCGTTGGTCTTGTATACAAAATTTATTATGTAAATGAGTTATTAGTTTTTGATAAAATCCAATTCCACTTTCCAAGTGAGATGCTAATAAAAGTTTTCCATCTTCATCTAGATTTCCATGTTGTAGTTTATTAACAAGTCCAACAACATTATGATATCCTTGTCTCCATAATAACTCCTCTGTTTTTGGTACATAAAAGATAGGATCTTCTAAAATCAGTTTCTCACAGTAAGTTTTTAGCTTTGAACGAAGTGTTTCTCTTTCAATAGAAAATACTTCAGCGACAGTTAGAGCATAGCTATTCGTTTCCTCAATAGATTTTACTATTTCACCTAGTCGCCTAAAAAATAATATATTAATTATGATATTTTAATCAAATATTAATTTTCAACACATTAGATTTGACATAGAAATAAAAAAAAAATGGAGATTAAAGAAGGAAAATACATAGAAGTTTTATAAACAACCAGATGATTCGAATTTAAATTAACACTTCAGCGCTAAGTATTTTAATTTCAATTTCATTGATATTTCAACAATGAACAAAAATAAGAACAAAATGAAAGTTGATAGAGAAGAAATAGTATATTACATATCATATAGGTCGTTAAAAAAGGAAAAAAGAACGGGTATACGTATTATTGTCAGGTAAGGTTGATAAGCACGTGGTTCGAGGATTCGTTTTCTAGAAACCGGAATGCACGTGTGATATTTTTTGTAAATACTAGAATATGAATGTCTTTTTTTGACTGCAGGCCCAAAAATGTTAATTAAATCTGGGTCAGTAAGAAGGTTTAGATTACCTATTGATACACATTAATGCGCATAAATATTTGTATGTATCGATAATACGTAAATAACGTTATGCAATTTTAATGAACTTTCATAGTCAAACAAATATCAAATCAAAAAAGGTTATGTGAGAATTACCTATGTAAGCTATGCAAAACCAGAAAACATAAGAGTAGGTAATAATCTCGACAAACAACAGAAGAGATAAAGGTGTCGAAGATGATACGTAGAAAACAAATAAATTTACCTATGCAACCGTTTAGTATCGATAGCGTTGCTTGAAAAGTTGTTCATCTTGGTTTGATCGTTGGATCCCTATTATTTTGTAGAAAAATCCAACGTGGTTGAGTCACATATGTAATTCACTTTTTTAACTAATTTATCACGAGTAAAATTTTCTTCTATCGTAGACAAGATTGACTTGATAGTGTGTTTTGGTCCATGCAATGCGATTGTTGACAAAAGTTACTCTAAACATGGGTATCGATATGGCTGACCCTGAGCACTGGTCTCGATTCATCGATGGTGTTTGTAACACTGACTAAAGATCGCAGCCACAAGTCAGAATTTATATTGGACCGAACATTCGAGTGACAATGGGTGGCGTTGCGGTACGCTTCCACCAGTTACCCGCCAAATTTAAAATGCTCAGAGTTGGCTGATTACAACAAGTTGAAAAATATATCTGCTTGAAAATTGCTTCAACTACCTTTATTATTGATCGTAAAATTTTTTAAATTAATAAAAATCTTTGCTAACAAGAAACTTTACGGAACGAAGAAATTTTACGGAAATTCCCAATTTTTAAATTAATGTTGAAAAAAATTATTTCAATTAAGTATAAAAAGTATATTCACGTATAAAAGCTACATGATAAGATCAAAAAAATTTTCAACAAAAAATACAAATGACGATATCAAAATAAAGTTTTGTTTTTAAGTAAAGTTTTGGTCGACAGACACCTGTCAAGTTTATTTACGTCTAACATTTATATGTTCACACAATTCTTACCTGATCATTTTCACCCGATTTACTTCATAATAAGTTGATGTAAGAATCATGTGAATATCTAAGATTCAACCCCTCTCTTTTGATCTAGACTAGAATAATGCTTGTCGAGCGCGCGAATCACGACGTGCGCCTCGTCCCGACTAAACGCGAACGCACGCACACATTCGCAATACTACAATAATATAGTATGCGCGAGAGACGCGAATAAACAGCGCTTGAACAAGCGAATCGAATAAAATTTATCTTGTCGTGTTCTTGTCGGCGAAGCTACAAGTTCAATCCGATCTTATATTGCAAATGTTCCTCAATCATTTAATGTATAAATAGCATTTTACAAATGAGCATCTAGTCAGTGCGAGTTAACCGTTTGCCACACGATATTTATTTAATCATAAATTTAATAGCTGTGCTAAGGGGATCATGTTTTAATAATATGAAGAGATTTTTCGTCTTCTTAGTTTTTGTAAGTGAACGTTTTTTGTATTAAGGGTGAACAATTTGTTCAATCTTTTTTCACCTTTTTTTAGGTATATTTAGATACTGTATTGGCTAGTGAACATCTTCTTCACAATGTCATTGATGAAGTACAATCCGGTTCTTATAAATATTACAGTTTGACATACGATGGCCTTATCAAAATTCGACTGACTACCCAGTAATTATTGCACTGAAATAAATTTTTTTTTTATCATTTTAACTAAAAATTTAAAATATTCCATCAGGTTGGGGGATGCAGATATTTATGTTTCTCAAACTACTACCAAACCTACTTATGAACCAGATAATTATTGTTTGCAATCTACAACTTGTGGAGAAGACGTTGTCTATATACCACATAGGTAGTTTTTAATTTTTGGTTTACACTAAAAGATTTTGTAAAATTATACGTATATATCTTATTTTAGCTTTGTAAGACCAGTGAGTATTGGCGTGTATGGTCATCCGTCTTATGATACGAGTCGATATACTCTCTTGGTATATCAAGTAACAAATCCATCGGGAATTTATTTAGAATATCAAAATTTTCCAGATGATAATTTACCCACTCCAAAAAACCAGAACCAAAAAGTACGTTATAGATTAATTATTGTAAATTTTTTTGTGTAGCTTGTTTCTTGTAACTCAATTTGATTTTTCAGAGAGAGAAATCATCTTTTGTGCTGTCTTTGTTGTGGTCAATGATTGATATATTGTTTCACATATTGTTTTAGTAAAAATTATTTTTCAAACATGTTGGAGTACGAAAATCAAATGTTTTTGGAAATACTCCAAGAAGATGGGCTTGTTATTGCAGCAAAGTAATTTAACACCATCCTATATACTATAAATAACCCTTGTTTCATCTTATTAAATTTCAAGAATTGCATTAAACTTTGTTCTAGGGGCCTAGGGCTTGAAACAGTTTTCATGAATATACTTAAAGCTTACTCAGATCCAGGGCATCTTGTCCTTGTTCTAGGAACAGATGATTTTGAGGAAACTTTTTTCATCGAACAATTGAAAAATCAAGGTGTTAAACACTTACCTAGAGTAGTTTCTGCTCAAAGCCCAGCAGAAGAAAGGTATGATGCTCATTATTTTCAACTGATCACTTTATAGAAAAATATTGAATGTTTTAGTTATGTCACTTGAAGCAAGATATAAGAAAAATATGTAATTACCAAAATTTTTAACCCGTTACAGAGATATAATGTACTTAGAAGGAGGTGTATTATTTATATCAGGAAGAATATTAGTAGTAGATCTTTTGAAAAATAGAGTACCTTTAAATCTACTAAGCGGAATTCTTGTTTATAAAGCTCATTCTATTTTAACTTCTCATCAAGAATCATTTGCCCTTAGACTATACAGAAAAGGCAATAAGGTATTTACTTTTATTTTATAAAAAAACTTCATTTACTAAAATTTATAGTTTTGGATTTCAGACTGGTTTTGTTAAAGCATTCACGAATTCAGCAATTGCATTTACTGTCGGCATGTCTCAAGTAGAACAAGTGATGAAAAGACTATATGTTAAAAAATTAAATCTATGGCCTAGGTTTCATAAAACAGTTAATACTTGTTTAGCAAAGCACAAAGTGAGAAAAAATGATCTGCTGTTTAATTTCTTTTGTTTATAATGTTTCATCAATTAACTTATTTCTTTTCTTCATAGGTACAAGTTTTTGAGTTACACGTTAAACTAACTCCAAAAATGTTGAGTATACAGTCAGGACTTTTAGATGTTATGAATTCAATGGTTCAAGACTTGAAACGAAATAATAAATACGTAAGAAGTATTTATTGAATATCATAAATAATTTTACCATTTTTTTGTTTTTTATTATAACTCATGATGCTTCTGTATTTTGTCAACAGCTTGATTTAGATGAATTGACTGTAGAAAATGCTGTGGCTAATAAGTTCCATAAACAATTACAACTTCAATTAGATCCTGTTTGGGACCAATTAAGTTATAAGAGCAAACAGCTAATATCAGATTTAAAAACTCAGAGATCTTTACTGATGTAGGTCTCAATTTAATTAATTAATTTTCATTTGAAAATTGAGTTATACCAAAAATTTACTTTCGTAGGTGCTTAACTCATGATGATTCCGTTTCATTTTACGCGATGTTAAATAGTCTCCGAACTATGGAATATGCAATGAGAAGTAGTGGATGGACCATGTTAGATGTCGTTGACGATATGTTCAAAAATGCTAAATTACGAGTCTTTGCTGAGAATGGAGGTACGATAATTAAACTGTAAATCAAAATGTATACTTTATTTGTTGCTTTATTAAAGATCTAAAACCGGAACCTAATCCAAAGTGGACCGCTTTGTCTGAAATACTGCTAGAAATTGAAACAGACAGTGCAAAAAATAAAAAAAATAAAATCGTTCCAAAAATACTTATATTAACGAGGGATGGTAAAACTTGTCGTCAATTGAACAACTATCTGACTATGGGATCGAAAGAATATTTATTATACGAAGCGATGAAAAAATTGAAGCCAGATAAAATTCAAGCGGCAAAAAAACCTGAAATGAAAAAAAAAGAGACTTCAAAAAATGCGGAATCTAGTTGTGAAGCAGAATCTATCGAAAATTCAGAAGAAGAACGAGAAAGCTACGTGTTGACCATGACACAAAAAGCTGTCGATGAAGAGGACGAGGACAATGAAAAAAGCAACAGCTCTGATGGAAAAATTAATTCCAGTCAATGTTTTGAAGAGTGCTCGAAGGTGCCATATTACGCCATACTTGTAACAATAATATTATGAATATACATTTATTATATTTTTTAAAATTTTTAGCTTGAAGATTTAGATTCAACAACTTTGTCGGCAACTCAACCTCTTCTAGTTATCGAATCAATGAAGAGAAACGGGGATTCCATGTCTTTGCACAAACGTCTCGATGAAATGTCACCAAATTATGTTGTATTATATGCGGCCGATATTTCTGCTGTACGACAACTGGAAGTTTATCAAAATAAAAATCCATCTATTCCTCTCAAGGTTTATTTTTTAATTTATGGTGGTTCAGTTGAAGAGCAAGCCTATCTTACTTCTTTGCGAAGAGAAAAAGAAGCTTTTGAAAAACTTGTTATGGCCAAAACTGTAAGTTTTCAAATGAGTAGTCGAATGGATTTTCCAATAACATTTTGTTTGTAATCATGTTTTCTGTTTTATAGACCATGGTAATATCAGCAGAACAAGATGGAAAGAGTGAAGAAACAACTTCAACTGACCACGCTATAGAAGAAGAATCGAATAGTAGCACAAGAAAAGGGGGATTGAAAGAAGATCAACCAGAGGTTGTTAATAAAATTATTGTTGATATGCGAGAATTTAGAAGTGAACTTCCTTCAATGCTTCATCAACGTGGTATGGAAGTTGAACCGGTTACAATAACTGTAAGTCTTTTATTTGTATGAATTTAAAACTTGAATGATTGAAAAGTATTCATAGTATTATTTCATTTTTAGATAGGAGATTACATCTTGTCTCCAGATATTTGCGTAGAAAGAAAAAGTATCGCGGATTTAATTGGATCTCTTAATTCCGGAAGATTGTATAACCAGGCTGTTGCAATGACCAGGTACTATGCAAAGCCCATGCTGCTGATTGAATTTGATCAGAATAAACCATTTGGTCTGCAGGTAATTAAATAAAGTTTTTTAGATTAAAAATATGCATTTAAGCCAATCTATAACTTTTTAGGGTAATTATTATATTAGTAGAGGTATGAGGAGCCTCGATATAACTAATAAACTGCAACTGCTTACAATGCACTTTCCAAGATTGAAGTTAGTATGGTCGCCTAGTCCGACCGCTACTGCCCAACTTTTCGAGGAATTGAAGGTATTTGATTAATTTCGTTTATTCTGATTAAATGTATAAACCTATTTATTATGTTTGTTTATTAGCAAGGAAGACCACAGCCAGATGCAGCTAAAGCAGCACAAGTTGGAACTGAAGACGATATTGATGATGAAAATACAATGGCTGAAAAATATAATGTTCACATTCAAGATTTAATAGCAAAGTTGCCAGGTGTACATTCAAAAAATTTACGTGCGATTCTTAACAAGGGCATATCATTGGATCATTTGCTGACTCTTTCAAAGGTAGGGCTGTACAAAAATCATCTTTATTATGTTTTATACCTAGATTTATTTTGTAATGGGTTTTTAATTTTTCAGAGCGAGCTCAGTGAAATAATAAGCAATTCAAGTGATGCTGATTTATTATATAATGCTTTACATTCAAAAACTAAAGCCCCTAATGATGGTTCGTCTGCCAGTGGGATCAAACCCAACACTTCAAAAGTGAAAAAAAGAGGTCTATTTTTCAAGAAGAGAGGAAAATAAATTTGCTGCTAGAACTATAGTAAAAGTGAAAGTTAATAGTTTAAAATTGTTTAATTCTTCAATTTATAAAAATTACATTATATAAATAAAATTCATAAAATTATATTTCAATATTAGATATGTTATTCTTAAGTTCTGTTTCTATTTTTTCATCACTATCAGTATCTAAGTCACCTAAAATTTCATCGTTTTCTATAATTGGAAAAAAATATCTGTAACATAAAATCATTTGGTCAATAAACGTTATTTATTGATTTTCATATAATAGCTTACTTACTCAGGGAAGACCCAAATCTTTTCAATTGGTAATTTAAAATGATTTTGTTCTTTCATATGTGAGAGACAATCTGTTTGAACTTCTTCGCAATACATGCATTTTGATTCTCTCATTTGACGTCGTATATAATTAACTATTTTGACCTACATTATTTTATTGTGGCAATGAAATCAAGGAGTAATAAAAATTTTAAAATAAAACAATTGTGACTAAAAAATTGATAAAATTAATTGAAATTGTTCTCACCTTGTCATAATAATCGCGTCCTTGTGTTGCATCTTTCAAATCAAAATTGTGAACTAATTTCATATGATCCAAAATTGCATGAAAATCATCTGTTGTATGATTACAAAATAAGCAGTGTCTCACTTTGATGTATTCAGTTTTCCATGTTTCCCACTCATCACTTTTTTCTTCTTCACTTTCCTCATGTAAATCTTCATTAACTTCAACGTCCTGTAAAAAAATTTAATTTATCTTTCTAAATTTTAAAAGTTTCAACAAGGTTTAATATTAAAAAATCAGTATTGCTTACAACTTTGTTATGAGTCTGCCGATTGTCTGTTCGATAGTAACTTGTAAGATAAAATTTGTCATACACTTTGTTATTTGGATTGACTTTTTTGTGAAGTTTTTTGCGCATGTGTTCTTTCAATACAAGTCTATCTTTGAACTTTCCTTCGCAATAAATGCAAGTTAAACTAAAAATATTTTATTTAGTAAATCAAATTGAAACAAAATATTACTAAATTTTAGTGTTACTAAAATCTTACTTTTCAATACATTCTTCTAATTTATCAAGATATTCATCGATGAAAACTAGATTTTCTAGTTTCCCAAATATAATATTATGTTTTGAAGTTAGATGCTTTAAATATTCAATTCGAGAGCCAGCAAAATCTGTCCTGCAAAACATACATCCTCTTTTGAATGATGTATCCGACCTTTCTTTGACTTGTACAGCACAAACATATTCCTAAAATGTAATTATCATTATAATTCATCCTTCTAGCTACAATTCAATTAAATTAAAAAATTGTACCAGTTTTGCTCTACTTAATTCATCTCGTAATGCCTTATCTTCTGCCAAGCAGTCCGAGAGCATAAAATAATAGTCTGTTTTAAGTTGATTATCACCAGAGGAAGAATCTTTAGGTTTATCTTCTTTCAAAGTTGTACAAAACGTTGTAAGAAGTTGTCCTCTGAATCTCACTTTCCAATATCTAATATAGCTGTAAATAATTTCCAAAAATCAAAAAACTGCATTTAGAAATTGAAATATGATATTTCATTAGATTGTAAACTTACGATTTAAGACTAGCTATTTTATCAACATCTCCTATAATTAAGCTATGATCTTTCATTAAATGCTCCAAAAACTCCTGTTTATTTGTGGGTAATAAAAACATAGAATCACATAGTAAACAAGCCATTTCAGCCGGATTATCATCCAAATCGATGAATTGTGACTTGCAGGGTGTCGAGTGATTTTGCATCTTTGCTAATTTTAGAAAATTCTTTTCTCCGAAGTCAACTGGGATAAAAAATTGAATTATTATCATGAATAATCAACATCAGATTTTATAAATAATCTAATCTATTACGATTAGACATTAAAGAGTACACGTGCAGCCAGATACAACAATAAGCAGACGAAAATCAGCTTTTTTGAATGCCGATGCGATGCGCTGTGGCTTGATAACTAACCCTGAGTCAGCTGCTTGTTCTTCCAGTGCTGATCAAAAACAGCAAGAGTGAGCGCGAAACTCAAATTCTTGTAAAGATGTGTAATTTAAAATATCTGTTGTAAAAGATTTTTTAATAATTAAAAATATGATTACCACTCTAATATTTTATGCCAGCAATTATATTTTTAATTAAATGAATGCCAAAAAAAGTTTACAACTGATATTTTAGATCACATCTTTGCATAAATTTGAATTTCACACTCGTTTTTGCTGCTTTTGAGGGACAAGCTGGCTCGTGCAGACTGCAGTCCCATGATGTGTCACCGCTGAGTTTCATTAGTTGACAGACAGCGGTTTTAGTGATTAGACAGCAGACTCTAACCAAATAAAAACATTGCTATATTTGTAAGAATTATAACAAATAATTGAATACAAAATTTTAATGATAGAGCAAATAGAAAAAAAAAGTACGCAAAAAGCTGATAAAGCAAATGGAACAAAAAGACGCAAATACATGAAACGTTGAGTCTTTGTGAAAAGTGTATATTTTTAACAAATTACGTTCAGTTAAGAAATGATCCTTTTCAAAACATTTTGTACATAATTAATTTAGTTTACATTAAAAGTAATTTAAATATTAACATTATTATATTTTCTTAATTTTTTTCATTGCATCATCAACTGGAGCTTGTTAAACGAAAGACAATTCCTCTTGATATGATTCCAAACGGGGCTTTACCCCATGTTTCGTTTTAAGAAAGTAATAATAATAAAAATATCAATATTTTTATGGGAAAAAATCTGTTCTCAACAAGATAACGATTGCGCCTCATGAAATTGATGACACTCTGTTTACATCAGATGAACAAGCTGCAGAGTCTCTTGTCTCTTGGTTTCATTGAAAAGCAAGATCTAATTTTGAAAGAGATGCAAACTTTGAATGAGCAACTTCAGCAGAAATTGCTGAAGTCATCGAGACGAATTTGTAAAAACAATTCATGAAAGAAAAAAGTAATTTTAAAATTTTTTTTAGCCTGAATAACACCATTTTTCCCGTTTTCAAATATCGTTTCTTCGATAAAAAGCTCTTCTTTATCGATGAGAAATATTCCCAAGTGATTTTATATGAAAAAAATAATCCTGAAATGCTTTATTTTTAATTGTTGTACAACGACAATTGCGTGCATACATTTTTTTTCAGTTTTACTTATTACGAATCGATAATCGTGTATTGAGAATTCGTGACTGAGAAAGTATTTCCTTAAAACATGTCCCAACACATTGTTTTAAAGATATATATTTCATCAGCTTTAATATGTTTTAACTTTTTTTAATTTTCGAAGGCCTTCACCCGAATTTGAAGTTCCTATATCCCTCGTGAGTCCAAAAAACTACAGAAGTGTTCTCTAAAAAAATGAATTTTTTTATAGCAAAAAATCAAAATTTCACGAGACCATGTATTTGTACTTATTATCATCTTTTCACTACCTTTGATGCGATAAATACCAAACTGTCAGTTTCCATGAATAATCAGTTCCCAAAAGGAAGTTTTATCTCTAAAGAATTAACACGTTACTAAGAATAAGCGTTTGAAGCGATAGCGGTGTTTTTTTTTTCTTGAAAATTAGTCATTTTTTCGTAGAGTCACATAAGTTTTTTATACATTTGTTCATAAATTAAAAATAGCTAAGGTTCGAACGATAAATCGTTACGCAGCTAATTTGAATATTTTATTGTAATTACAAATGCAGTGTCGAAAGATGAGAGTCGTTTTAACTGCCTAATTTATATCAAATATCCATTACTGAATTTCTTGTATGTGTGAAGGATCAAGTTTTTACGATCATTTTAGCGAAGACCCGAGCCGCGGCAGCATGTTTACATGTATAGTAATAATTGTCATTAACTGTCGGCTTAATTACCATAATCATGATATACCGACAGGCCACGTGCGGGCCTCGCTTCGTGTTACATTCATGGCATGCTGCAGTGCGCGCGCGGCTATCCGCTTCCTAAACGTAAAAAGACCATCACCGCCGCTCTGCTATATGGTGTTTGCGTATGCCAGCCGCCCTCTACACATCCTTTTGTGGGCAGGCGCACTGTAGCATACCTATACATTAATAGCCATATATATGTGTATATAGTTGTCAGTCGATGCGTGCGCCTATACTGCAATGTTATGGGAGTCGTGTCCGTGTGCAGTCGCTGAAATTCGGTTAGTCACTTGGTCCATTCGAAGCGGCGCAGGTCTCTTTTCATCTCGTGGCTGCCGTCTATCACTCGTGCGCGCGTATAACACGATAAAAAGTCCTAAGTCAGCTTTGCTGCTCGCCGCATAGTTAGACTCTCGTTACAGTTCGTCAATATAGTTTGTGCTCTACTGCGCTCAACTCTCGAATATCTTCACACGATTCTTCGTGTACGCGATATACATAGGACTGCGAGTGCTCTGTGCCTCTGTGTGCGCGTGCATGTGTGTGTATGTGAATGCTCGTAACGTTCTATGCGCTGCTTCCTGCACCATCGCCCGTCGAGGTTCGAGGAGTTAATACATTTGTCGGAGTGTCGTTCAACATGACCTTATATCTTTGATTTCACTGTGGTTTCGGGAGATTCAATAACATCGGATAAACATGGCCAACGAAGTGGAAATCAACAAATTCGTGGAAAGTCCTGTGGTTGCATGGGTAAGTTTACAAGATTATAAGGTCCTGATTAAGTGTATAATTTTTTTCTCAAAAATTACATCTCTACAAAACCTTTTTTCAAGTTCTTGGGGCCTTTTTAATTTCATTTTTCCAATTTTACAATTGACTTGATTTTTTATGAAGTAGAATCACTCAAACAAATAATTGGTTTCTTGGTTTTTCGTCGAAAGAATAATACCTCAAGTTTTATCAGTTTTGTTTTGCTAACAATTTAGTCCTTTATTTTGTATGTTTAGAAATCATGAACAAATTTTTTTATTTATGCTAGAATTTATTATTAAGTAATTTCTTACATGCTGTAATATTTAATCGGTCCTACTCTGAATTATTGGGTTTTTGATAACGTTTTGACTTTTACCATAGGCGCATGAAAACACAAAAAAAATTTTTGTCGTCGAAACGTCTACGTGCAGGCGCCCACAGTTCTAACCTCAATTAAATTTTGTATACAAAGAAATGTCAATGAGAATTATTATTCTTCTAAAAATCCATTTTACCATTCATCTAAACGTTCATCTAATAATAAGAAAATTATTTACTCTGAAAATAATTTACAATTTTTTTACATTTTAATTATATGATAAAATGATTTAATTTTTATTCGTTTTGTTTTACAGCTGATCACATGCCTCGATGACCCGACTATTTTACTTAGCTACAATGATATAATTGATGGTGTGCTTCTACATAATGTATTTTTGCAAGTGTAAGTTTTTAATTAAAGAATTTTTTCATTTTATAGTCCACCTTCATGTGTTTATGAAACATAAAACATTAATTAAAACTTCTCTTACAGCGATCCTGAGGCATTGTATGATGGAGTTCAACATTCATGTGGAGACATTAAAATTCGTACTCGAAATTTAGAAATAGTTCTAAATAATATAAGGCAATATTATCATTGTCAATTAAAACAGTTAGTAATGGTCAGTCCTAACATTTATAAATTGGCCAAGGAACCAGAAAAAAATGTTAATGAAGCAAGAATGTTATTGATTTTATTATTGGGAGCTGCAGCTCAATGTCCACACAACCATCAATTCATTGATCGAATACAGGATATAAGGCATGAAAATGTTCAAATGGGAATTGCAGATTGCATCAAAGAAGTGACAAATGGTACTGGTATAGTAATTAAACCAGAAGTCATGGATAACGTAAATTTGGGTGCAGTTTTTACAAATATGCAGAATATTTTAAAAGAAAGAGATGAGTATCTTGCAGAGCTGCAAGAAATCAAAGCTCTTACCGTTGGTAATGACTTTGAGATGTCTATTTTAGATAAATCTGTAGACACCAGTGTGCAGGACTCAAGTTCAACTCTTAATAGAAGTTCTTCATCTTTCAAAAATTCTTTGAATTTATCTACTGTAAAAGACGATAGTGCATTCAACTTAGCTACCAAATATCAAGATACATCTAGAGAAGATTCACATATTGCTCTAGAGCTAGTTGAGTTGAAAACTAAAATAAGAAAACAACGACAAGAAATAGAAGAAAAAACAGAACAGATTGCAGAATGTAAAACAGAAATAACAAGTCGCGAAGAAATGATTATAAAATTACGTGAACAAAATCAGGAATTGAAAATGGCAGCTCGCAAAGGTAAGTCATATCAAGATGAGCTTGATGCAGCCATGGAAAAAGTATCCCAAGTGGACAAACTTGAAGTGGAGATGTCAAAATTTAAAGATATAGATTCAGAACTTGATTTTTACAAACGCCGAGTCAATGAGTTACGAGATGACAATCGTTTGCTCACAGAAGGTCGTGCGATTTTGGATGAAAAACTTGCAGCTCTGCAAAAACAAGTTAGCGTGGTGACAAAGCTTGAACAAGAAATTGAGGATTATAAAGCCAAGATGCAGGAAACGCACCACGAGCGAATGATCGAAAAAGTTCGTTATCAAGAGTTGTACGAAGAGAAAGAGCAGCTATTGAATATCATTAAAAGTAAATCGCCGATGCAGGAAATCCAAGCTAAAATAGAAGTTGACGAGATGAGCATGGAACTCGATCCAAACAGTTTCGACAACATCAAACCAACTGACAATAGATTATCAGACGAGTTAGAGCGTAGCGCTCAGAGTCAAGTTCTGAGGCTCGAATTGGAAAATACGAAGCTCCGTCATGCTATGGATTTGATCAAGGATCAGCAGTACGGAGAATACAAAACGAAGCTGTCGGAACTGAATCATGCCAATCTTGAGCTACGACTGTGCGTCAAACAATTGGAAGTAGCAAAAGAGAAGCTCGAGAACGAGAAAAAGACACTGCAGAGCACCATTGATTCCGGTAACAAGCGATGCGAGAAACTCGAGTCCAACGCCAAGAGTCAACTTGCTAAAATTGACTCTCTTCAGCAAGAAATAGAGAATCTGCGCCAGAGAATGATGGAAATCAATGCCAGTAACGAAGAAAAGCTGGAACGAGAGCGTCAGTATGCGAAAAACATGATTGCCATTTCGGAACGTCGTGCCGAGGAAACGGAAAATCTGTACAAAGACGAAATGGCCAATCTTGCTCGCTTGACCACGGAAAATCAGACGCAGCAGGAGCGAATTTTATCTCTCGAACGCTCGGCAGAGGCAAGTCACAACGAGCTGTTGAAGATCCGAGATCAGTTCAGCGACAAGGAGCGTCTCATCGACGAGGCCAACATGACCATCAAAGATCTTGAGCGTAAATTAAGCATGGCTCATTCGCGCATCGCCACCTTCGACGTGCAACTGGTTCGACTGGCCGAGCTCGAAACTATCCGGAAAGAGCTCGACGCCAAGGCTGCGGTAGATCGCGAGACCTTGGAAACTTTACAAGCCGACTTGATCGCGGAAAAACTCGCCGTCAAGCGCGCCAACGAACGCCTGGCCCAGCTGGCTGAAAGCCAGCCAAACTCGAACGAGTCGGACTTCGCCGCTGCCGACGAGGAACGCGCTCGTCTCCAAGTGACGGTTTCGCGGCTAGAGAGCGAAATCCACACGATGACGAGTCAGCAAGCCGAGACGCAGGCGGCCAATCGCGAGCTGGAGGCACGCTGCCAACGCCTCGAGACAGAGCTCGCCGCCTTGGAGAAGGCCCGCGACGAGCTGGTGACGGATCAGCGTCGACTTCAAACGTTGCACGATCAGCTCGGCTCGGAATACGAAGATCTGGAGAAAGAGCGGGAGAGTATGCGTGCGTCGTTGCGCGATGTCAGACAGGACGTCAGGCAGCTCAGGCAGAAGCTCGACCAAGCCGAAGCCAAAGTCCTCCAGGTACAGAGAGAGAAAGACAAGACTGTGGCCAATGCCACGAGCTTGGCGAATCTGCGTCTCGAGCATTCCAAGTTGAGAGACGATTTCCGATTTCTTTACAAAACTGCGGAAGGAGTCAAAGAACAAAATCGCGCGCTTTTGCTTGAAAATCACAAACTTCGTTCCGAGTGCTCGGCGAAGGGTATGCGAGTGGCCGAACTTCAGGGCGATCTTAGCGTCAACGAGCAGCGCTTGAGCAGACTCGAGGCGGACAAGAGCAAATTGGTGGAGCGCTTGGATATGATGACGCACACGAACAATGTTTTGGAGTCGGATCGTCGCAGTCTAATGGATCAAGTGACCCTGGTATTCACGCAATATCACGAACTGTTGCAACATTCGCTCGAAGATAGGGAGCAACACTACATGGAAGAAAAGATCTACACCGATAAAGTGAACCACCTGCATCGACAAAAAGAAAAGCTGGAAGAGAAGATCATGGACTATTATCGTAAAACCGAAAACGCAAACAAGAAAAAAGGCCTGGGAGCCAGTTTCGTTCGAAAAGTGCGCAAAGGACTGTTCGGTCGTGCCAGTTCTTCCAGGCGGGCTTCGTGGACCGGTGACAGCTTGAACAGGTGCGAGACACCTCCGAACAGTACCTGCGATTTGGAGGAGCGCAAAGCCACACCCGTCCATTCGAGGTCGTCCAGTAACGAGTTCGACGATTTACCAGCTGGCATTTACGAGCCTGGACTATCGTTACCAGGTACCAGACGAGGTGTGTACTACAACGACGTGTCTCCGCCCTCGTTGAGCCACAGCACGCCGAATCGTAGCCCACCGACGATCCATAGTCCAGAACCCAGCCCCCCAGAGTCCGACAGCGAGAGAAAGGATCCTCAATCTATCATAGTTTTCAACAAAGTCTCCGCTGTCATCAACGAGACCACTAGCTCGAACGTAGTGGCTCAGCAATCAACGTCTGAGCCACCACCCAAGACTAGCGACAACGAAGCGTCTAACGACAAAGACGAAAAATTGCCTAGTTCCATTTGGTACGAATACGGTTGCGTATAAAAAAAAACCGACGCTTGTTTTACGAATTTACTGTACAGAACTGATTTATTCTTATTAACGTTAGTGTTTTGACTATCGAGTATTTACATTTTCACATATTTAATCTCAAACGCCTTCGAATAGATTTTAAGATACGTTGCCTTACACTTAAAAGTAACAACGAAATGTTACGGAGATTTGCTTGTGCATAATTTTTAATTTTTTTACCAGTGCTTGTCAAACATTAAGCGTACAAAATGTTAATGTACTTGCCAGCCTTTAGGTCAGATCAAAATATATTCCGATTGCGGACTGAAAACTCGTATCCGTACGTTTTTTAACAATTCCGTCGTATTGTTATTGTTCCTAGTATTAATAATTGACAACTATTTTTTGATAGGCTACAATTTTTATAAATATTTTTATAAAGAGTTATAAATACGCGCATTTTTAGTAAGCATTTATACGTATGGTTGTAACGTTATTGACAATTTAACGTAAAATGCTTAAGATGCCTTTGTATAAACAAAACTTTTTTAGATTGATAATCGTGTGCTTTAATTTGGCGATTGTTTTTATAGATACTGATCTGAATGCATATAAATAATATGCAGTATTGAGCTATTGTATAATGTCATATTATATTCACTCAGGAGTGTAGAATTACATTTTTTATGTATAGTTTATTAGATAGTTACAATTTTTTGTATGATGGTTTACCCTTAAGTTTCAATAAATATACTTACTTGAAAATTAATTCAGTTCTGTTTATTTTTATTCCATTATTTACTTTTTACATTGCGTAACTGCTTTTGAGAAATAAAAATAAAAATAACAAATAAAGAAAAACTTTGATACAAGCAGATAATAATAATGCAAGAATTATATTTTTCAACAATTTTATTATATAAAATTTTTATATTATAATACATTTTAAATTAACAATTACTTTTATAAAATAATATAAATCAAAATCATTCACTTATTTTCAATTTTATTCACAATCATTCAAAATATTTTTTTAATTCGATTTATGGTGCTCCAAAGATTTAGTCATGTATTTGTCTAATCCATACAATATGATAAAGTGACAGATATGTAAGCACAAAGAGCTGTAAATAGTACTTGGATAAGTGTTCCAACACAATTCAATAAGTCCTAAAATGACCAATCGGGTGTGAGTCTTAAAATCACAAGTCCAAAGTAAATAAGGTAATGTATGATAATACCAAACATAAAATTGGTAATGCAAAGATCTGCTAAAAAGTATACCAAGAAAATTTGCCGTAAACATTGGTAATATAAATAGTGTACTTGCTACACTCATGTCAACTCTAGTCTTTCTATTAAACTGAGGCTTAAGATCTTTTTGAATAGTCATGAGTTTTTTGTAGGAAGTTAAATACTTGATCCATTTTGGAGCAAAATATATCAGCGTGATGATATGTAAAGCGAGTAAAGTTATGTGAAAGTATGGATTGACAAAGAAATCTTCAGACAAAAATCTCCAATTAACAGTCCACTTGAATTCAAATATTCTGCCTAAATTGAAAGCACCTTTGATGTATGCTATAGGATTAGTTATTAAAAATGGCAACCCTAAAACAAGTTGTATATTTGCGCATATGAACAAATGATAAATTGTGTTTATCCATCCCAAGTTTGTGATGTAAGCAGCTAGCAACGCTGGAGCATACAAGAGTATATTCATTTTCACAGATACCGCTAAACTGTACAAAACACTTCCTAAGTACCATTTATCATTCAAAAATGCAACAATAGCTCCATATAGTAAAATCACAGCCACTGGATCATTGAAAAGTCTCAAAACAAATATTGAGTGTATTCTATAAGAAGTTAAAAACACTAGAATCAAAACGTAAGGTGGTACTTTCTTTGCTCGCCTGTAAATGTCAAATACCAAAACAAGAAGTACATAGTAGAACACTGAGTATATGTACTGAGCAAGCTTGATGTAAGTTCCACGCAGAGTCACGTAGTAAAGGGCCATAAATATGTAAACAAATCCAGCTGGATAAACCAATGGTCCTGTATCGCCTTTCAATTGTGAGTAATCGAGAGTTCCATTGAGTACACCTTCAACCTCTTGCATATAAGCTTTCCAGTCGATTTCGGTGTAAGGCACTGTCTCGATCACGTAGGTGTTGAGTACCACTTCGAGGAGTAAAAACAAAAATGCTGGGACGGCGAGTTTTCTCGGATCCGTGGCATAGGACAAAAGTTCGCCCCATTTGTTTGGCGTCTTCTTGAACTGTCTGTAATACTGTCGAGCACTGTTGACGATGTGCATCTTGGTTGTTGTGCGTAATCAACTCGCCCTATCGATCACGAACTTGGTCGTCGGACTGAAACGTGGAAACGCGAGGCTCGCGAGTACGATATAGTTACACATGGGCCGCGATGCACCACAAATAGCAGCTCATTACCAAAATAGCACGGTAATGTAGGGTCCAGAGAGAGACAGAGAGTAAAGCTATGCGGTTAAAGTACTCGTGTACGTGTAATCGTACGTTCACACGCGCAGCTTTTCGTATATGCTAGCACAACAGACGACCGCGTGGCGTGACTCCCACAAATCACTCCAGCTTCGATGTATTATACTTCAAATTGTCACCGGTCTCGTTACTCATCGATACCGTTGTATGACGCACGTCTGGATCTGTTTATGTAAACATACACACACACTGAGATGTTTTTTCGTGACGTCGTAAATCGCCGAAGATGCAGCACGTGCCGAACTTGTCAATTTCAAGATAGTTTCTCTTCAGGCAAGATATTCGTATATATCGCCGTCGTCTGCTACGTACCACAGCACGAACTGGAATCGATTGTTTTGCGGTAACAGTTCTCGCAGAGCAGCATCGCACAGGCAGCGCGAGCGCGTGCGTTTTTCGCAGATAAGACATTTCTCGACGGAGCAGCGCAGTCAGTAGTGGGTAGGGTTGTCATAGTGCAATTTGCTGCTGCAGAGAGTGCAGTACCCGTGTCTGCCGGTATAACAGTTGCGGCAGTCCAAGTGCAGAGTCGGTGCAAATCGCGACGGTGTGCAGTATACTCCGCGAGAGCGAGAGAGAGCGAGAGAGAGAGAGAGAGAGAGAGAGGGAGAGAGTCTAAAGTGCACTACACTCTGCGTACGTACGGAGGCAGTCTAGTATATACAGAGCAGAAGTGCTCCTACAGCAGCTCTGTTATATGCAGTTTCGAGTGAGTCGCTGCTTCTTACATATGTGTGTAATGTACTGACTGCATGCGATATAACGTGTACAGTGTAGGTAATTAGACGTGTGTGCATGCATATGTACGTGTATACGGATTGTGGCGTATTACATACGCAGGCGATCAACCCGTCGGGACGACAGTGACAGAGAGAGAGAGAGAGAGAGAGAGAGAGGAAACGAGGAAGAGAGAGTGAGGGACGCAGCTACGGGACATCGAGGAGTCAGTTTGGCAATTGCTGCGCGCGTAGGCACACCACAGTCCGCACAGGCACTGTCTGACTCGACTGCAGTATATTGCCGACAGAGCGGAATCCGCGAGCCCGCGCGTGCGACCATGTCCGAGGGGACGAGAACGACTCGTACATCAACGTGTCATGCATAAGAGGTCCTGGCTGCAGCAGTGTCATCGTCGTGACAATTACCACAACATCTATCCTGCTGTTCCGATGAGAGCGGGAAATGATGCCGACGAACTCGCGGCTGCAATCGTCTGCAAATTGCAACGATGGTGAGCCTATTATGAGCTACCCTATAGTTACATACTATCGTAATGTTATACTTTTTAACCTTTTCACTTTGCACTCTACTTTTGCGCGTATACGAGCGATGTACGTACCTATATACCTGTACAGGTATAAATCACGCCGTGTTGTACACGGCACTTACATGCATTATATGCGTATATTGTATGTGGTGCAAACGGGCCTCGGAGTGAGAGCTATGCCGTTCTCGCGCTACATATAGCGCTGCTGCTCTATGTTGATATATCTAATGCATATATCCTCGTGCGCGGTTCCACTCCCACGCGCGCCTCTATGCATTCAATATTTCCTCCCAAAGATACGATCGTATCAGCAGCAACCTCCTGTTCTCTGCCTATGCGACTGACTGTCTGCCTATATATCTACATGCATATTATACATACATACACACGCAGTATATACACTATATATACACACACACTCGTACACCCGCGATACGCGTTTCGTGCACTAAATTAACGCACGATATATATACATGTACGTACTGCGCGAATGCACAGAAAACTTTTATCGCGACGATGCAGTTATTTCTTCGCGCGTATATTGCCCTCCTTACGTACGTTTAATCTCCTATCTCGTGATGCGAATAATACACTGCACCGAGAAGTAACGTCTCGCTTTTTTTTTCTTCCTCTTCTTTCGCTTTCGAGTTTTACGAGGCGATTTATATTCTTTCCTTTATTTTATGTACCCCTCTTTAGCGCTATAATATGTTTAATGTCTCGACTATTATTGCCCGTAGGATATGAATGGGACACATTGATGGAAGTTGTTCACGAGCCTATTGAGAAAAATTATACACTACTTGAAGAAATCGGAAAGTAAGTTCGATACTTCTTCCACTTTATCGATTTTTCTTTCTTTTTTTCTTTTTACTGCCGCGATTACTCATCCTTGCTGTTGGCTTATGTTGCAGAGGTCAATTTGCCGTTGTAAAAAAATGTGTGGAATTAAAGAGCGGTGCCAAATTCGCTGCGAAAATCATGAGGAAGAGAAGGGTAGCCAGGGGAGTGGCTGCAGCTGACATCGGTAAAATACATTTTCAAATGTTTATTTACTCTCTTTTTTATTCATGTAACTGTGCTACTATAATTTTTTTTCTTTCGTTTTTTGCAGCTCGTGAAGCTGGATTATTGGCCCAGCTGAGACATCCTAATATTGTATCTTTGCACAAAGTCATCGACACAGGCACCACCGTAGTATTATTACTGGAACTGATAACTGGAGGAGAATTATTTCATTGGGTGCCATCTAATGAAACTGAGGCTGCTCATGTGGTTGGTTGACTAACAGTTTCAATTGAAACTCTTTTATTTACCATTACTAACTACTTGTTATTCAAGGTTGGACAAGTTTTAAAAGCATTGAGTCACTTACATTCTCATCAAGTTGCACATTTAGACATCAAACCTGAAAATATTCTACTCTCAACTCCACCACCTATGCCCAATATTAAACTCATAGGTAATATCATCTCAGTATTACTTTGATACAAAGATTTAAATGTATCATTAACAAATTGACTTATTTTTAGATCTTGGTTTATCGCATCGATTAACTCCTGGCTCTGAACACAGAGCTTTATTTGGAACACCAGAATTTGTTGCACCTGAAATTGTTAATTATGAGCCATTGAGTTTGGGAACTGATTTATGGGCTGTTGGCGTTTTAACTTACATATTGCTTAGTGGTGCTTCTCCATTTTTAGGTGATGATAAACAGGAAACATATGCTAATGTGGCATCTTGTCAGTACCAATTTGATGAAAAGTATTTTGAAAATGTATCTGAATATGCTAAGAATTTTATACAGTCTCTATTAGTTAAAGATCCAAAGTAAGAATTTTATTGATATATATTTTACTCGATGTCTATTTATCCTTAAAAAATGATAAAATATTTTTTACAGAAAAAGAGGTACTGCAGAATCTTGTTTGGCACATCCATGGATTGTAACGGTGTGTTCCTTGTGTATTCCAGAAACTGAATAACTTTTTATTTTTTCTAAGTGCTTTTTATGATGTTTGTTTTTTGATTGATGTACTAATTACTTGTGTATATTAGTTTTTCGTTTTTAATCGTTTTTATTTGATTTGTATTTTTTTATTTCTGCACATTCTTTGTACAGTTTGCAATCTTAAACTAACAGTAGAGCCCGTTAAATGAACAGTGGATTCATATTATGTGAGAATGCATATTTCTCTCTTGTGACATTAGTTAGACTTATAAGACAAAGTTTTAGATTTAAAAAAAAAAAGAAACAAAATTATAATTTTGAAAAAATTCGTTAATAAAATGATAATGAAGTTAAATATTGCTGTAATAAGTATTATTTTTTTATAACACGAAAATTTGCTTGCGAGCACTAGCATTATATGCATTAAATGAAACCACTGGAAAATCGGGTGGATTGTGTGCTCAACTCACCTCCTTTTTTTAGTTTTCGACTTTGTAAGTTATTTTTTCGTTTTGTGTTATCTGTGAACGAGCGGCACATTTCTATAACTATAATAACATACGTAGGAATCGCAAGTCTGTCACGAATTAGGAGACGATATCATTTCGGCCGCGAAAGGAGGATGCATACAAACGGTATCGCAACTGCTTCAGCAAGGAGCTCCGGCAGGCGTACAGGATTTCGTATGTATCTTTCGCGTCTGCGTGCAATCGAATCTCAAACGATAATTCTCATAACGATTGAATAATGTTCTAGAATCAGGACACTCTGTTGCATATCGCGTGCAAGAACGGTGACGAGGGACTCGTTGCGTTGTTGATCGACCACGGCTTGGATCTAGACGCGACGAACAAGAGCGGCCAGACTCCGTTGCACGTCGCGGCCAAGCACGGACACATCGAGGTCGTCAGGCTTCTGTGCCAAGCTGGCTGCGACGTCGACAAAACGAATCGCGGCATCAGAGCCGATGTGACTGCCATCAAGTACGGCCATACAGACATAGCAAGTCTGCTCGACAAGTTGAGAAACGTGAGTGAGAGAAAGTAAAAAAACGAAGACGAGAAATAATTTCGTGAATGTATTATAATTCGTGAGAGGGTCCTCTTGAATGATGATTAATGACTTTTGCAGATGAATCAAAGAGAGGCATTTATTAAACAATTGCAGCCATCGCGACGGCCTATAGACTGTCTGCACGTACGCCTACTGGGCCACTGCGCGTCAGGCAAAAGCTCACTCGTCAATTCATTGCGGGCTGGAATTTTTAATTTCGGCTTCTTCAAAAGGGCTAAAAATCAAAATCAAAATACAAAGGTATGCGCACGCAATTAAAGATAAAGTTGAAGATAGATGAGTTAAAGATAATTGATAAAATATTATGACTTATAGCGCGATCCTAGTATTGAATTAGATGTCACAACGAAGCACGAATCACTTAGTTTTGAGCACAGTGACAACGAGTACGAAAGTACAATAGGTATCGAGATAAGTCGAGGTAACGTAGGTGAGCAACAAATACTTTTCAAATCGTATTCACCTCTCGATGTACAAGTCCACTTTAAAAATGGTCAATTGTTGGGCCTCTTAGGCGGTGAATGCGTATTTTGGGAATTCTGCGGACGAGAAGATTACCTGGTCTCCTATCATCGAGCTCTAATGGCTCATCAGCCTATGCAAGTCAATTTGATCACGATCAGTCTACGTCAGCCATTGAACGTGCAAATACAGCAGGCTCGATTCTGGCTGCGATTCATCGCGGATCGCATTAGGCCGAACAACATCGGTTTCGCGGGCAAATGCGCCGACGTGCAGGTCATACTGGTCGGCACCTACGCGCCCGAGCCTCCAATCGGTAACAATACGAACGGCAAAAATCTGTTGGAGCCTTTGCTGGCGTCGCTGAAGGAATTCATTCCGCTCTTGGGCGAGGAGTTCAAGTGCGTCGCTTTGGACGCCACGAGTCCATCCTGTCCGGGACTGAAGCAGCTGCGAGCGTACCTGAATCAGGCCAGGGGAAAATGTTTTGAGGTGAGCAGTGAAAACTGATTTAATTCCAGTGGGAAATTCACTTTACCATAATCGAGCAAAACTTATTAGAGTTCACACGATCTCTCGTGGAGTGGTTTAATGGAAGCCTGGAGAGCTCATACGCAATCTCTGGAAAATCCTCCCATGCTGCTGGACTTGAAGGGATTCGTTCGCGAAGTCAGACTCGTCAATCCACTGGTTTCCGTCGAGCACTGCAAGCACCTGGCAGAGCAATTACAAGCATTCGGAGAGTGCCTCATTCTCCCGGGAGATTTGTACGTTTTGAGCCTAGAATGGTTATGGAGAGACGCAATCGGCTGGCAATTGAATCCAGACCAAAAGAATCGTTTGGGATTCCGTACGACGGGCGTCTACACGGCGGAAGATTTTCAAGCTCGATGTCCGTGTCCAGCGAATCAAGCTTTGCAAGTTTTGCAGGCTTTTCACTTATGTGTACCTGTGAGTATTCAAAAATGTGATTGTTATTTCGTTAATTTAAAGTGATATGTCATTGAAAATCGTATTTAATAGTGCGAAGTTGACGACGAAGAAATTGAGTACGAAATTCCCTGTTTGAATCTTGTCGAACGGCTATCCGGCCTGTGGGAGCCTTGGCCATCGGCCCCTATGTCATTAACTCCACACGCGGGCTTTCGCCTTTTTCCAGTCGAAGCGCGTCTCTACAATTTGTTACCAATTTTTCCACACCTTCAAGTGAGCGTTTTAATGAAATATTATTTTATTTGAACTTAAAAATTACATCGTACTTGAATGCGTTACGTTTTGCACCAGGTACAATTACGAAAAACAACTCAGTCTTGGAACTGCCAAGAGTCCGACTTGTATCAGTGGTGGCGTGGCTCAAAATTGTGTCTCGGCCCGTGCGAGTGCATCGTCACTTTGGAGGAAGAGGAGCAAGGATGTATTCAAGTGTGGGTACGTGGCCCTCGTGGAACCGGAGCCCAATGCTTTAATTTGTTAGGAATCGTCTTGGACGCGGTTGATTCTGCTCTCGACATCGTTGCGCCAGGAATGTTGCTGGAAAGACACTGGCAGAGTCCAAGTCAATTAAGGGATTACGACGAAGTAAGCATCAACTTATATTCGCACATTTTTTTGTATAAACTGAGGCAAATCTCATGCCATTAACTATTTAGGTCATCCATTCGTGGGAGCCAACGACAATCAACAATGCTCTACTAGATCGAAATTTTCAAGAAGCTTTTTTCAAGAATCCCTTCAATGGCCAACGTGAAAGTGTTTGGCACATGATCGGTTGCGGATTGACTTCGATAGAGAATTGCATTCCTGGCGTAAAGCAGTCAATAAAGAGCATCAAGCCGGCGATTCAAAGACGATTGGCGCAATTGCTCGATCCTCCCGATTCATATGGTCGTGACTGGTGTTTACTCACGGTGAGACTTGGCCTTGGCGATCGAGTTGCTCAGTTTGACAGTACAATCAATAGCCCTACCTTAAGGTGAAATATTAACATTGAATAGTTATATAATGATTTTTAACGCAATGTAACTTGGGCGAATTTTCTCAATTTTAGAATTCTCAACTGCGCTGGAAACGATTGCACGGTCGGCACTTTGATAAAACAACTGCGTGCTTTGGGACGCGAAGACGCTGTAAAAGTTCTGCTAACCTTCACTCCGACGTATTTAATGTCAACACCCGTAGAATCTGATACGGGATCCAATCTTTCGAGATGACGGCCCTGCTCATTGTCTCTGAATAGCAACAATTTTTTTTTCAAACAAAAAGCTCGATAAGCACTTAAAAGCAGCGGCACATGCACACACTTTTTTATTGACACCGAAGAAAAATAATTTAGACTTTTCCATACGAGCAATTGTCCAAACTTTTTATTATATTGCTATATTCTATGTATTGTGAGCTTGTAAGAAACTGTATGTTTAGGCTATAGAATATAACGTGATATAAGTGCATAATATTCTACACTTTTACACTTTGTCAACGATGTAAGAGTATATGAAAAAAAAATTATAGATGCGAACGAATTGGGTTTTTCTCATTTTCTCATTTTGTGATAGATGATTCTGAATAATAACATAGTACATACACGTGACATACACGATGTGCGGACGAATGTTCTGCTGCTTAAAATGATAATTTTTTCAGTGAGCGCGCGCATCAGGATTAATTTTTTTAATACGATACAAATAAAAGCTCCTTTTTCAAATTTTTTCAATTTTTATAACGCCATAGAGTACAAGTTCTGGTAAATGTGTGTATGCGTACTCGTATAAATGCATAAACGATGTTTGTTACATAAGAGAATTTAATCAGAGTGAGATGTTTAATACATTATTACGATTGTAGCGTTTATTATCGTCATTATTACTATATTGAAACTATTATTATTATAAACATGTATGATAGATTTGTTAGACTCATTATTGCTATTGTCAAATTTATGAATGAGCGCAGGTGCTTATAATAAAGGGCATAGTACTTAGAAGTAGTATATATACGTATTTATTGGTATTGTGCCGCAACAAGTGTCTTTTGTACTTTAAACAAAGCAATGTTATAGTTATTCAAAGGCATGCGATCTATTGGACATTCTAATTCTCTTTATACAAAACATTGTATAGATATATAAATACATTATATAGTTATGATATACGATACATGGACTGCAAACAACAAAAACACATTTTTTCTATATTATTACGATACGATTTTAAGCGTCGTTGATTTTTTTCTCAAACGATTATTAGGATCGACACACGAATCAAGTCTGAGTGCGTAGATGTTATTTAAGTAGTTGAAATCGTTGACACAGCAGAATTCATTTCCATTAAAGAGAAAAAAACATTCCTACTTTTTTACATTCCTTCTCTCTATTATATGCTACGTCTCAAGAGTACGAGTCATATGATAATATTCACGCGCATTCCGTAAAACATTACCATAAAAAATATTGTAAATGAGTTTGTAATGCAGGTAATGATGCTAATTGTATGCTACGTACAGACATAAGTTACGAGAGAAATCTCGACTTTTTAATAATTCTGATACACAAAGATTTGTAATACACACTCGATTACTTATTGTTAATAGACTGGAACCACTTGTATAATAAAATAGAAAATATCTAGTATTACTGAAAAATAAAGCGAAACTCGAAACTAGAAAATGAACGATTTTTTGTCAATTTTTTCACGAGGGATGGGGTGATCTGTTTACAGAGCTGCAGCATTAGTGGCGGCAGATTCAAACTGTATAAGGCCCCTTGATCGCACCGACATCGAAGAAAAGAAAATCGTAAGTAAAGCGAGCAGCGAGTAAAAAAGACCAGTGTACGCATTATACGCATGGGAGACAGAGAAAAGAAGATGGAGAGAGGCTAAAATAGCCATTGTTATAAACGAGGTGTGCGCATAGGGCATATAGTTTCCATGTCGAGGCGATCGAATTTAGTTGTGTGCGCCCAGTGACGAGTCGGCATCGAGTGGAAGCGCATAATACGTAGTATTGCACTTGTTCGGGGCGAATAATTAAACGGAGGCACGATTGCCAGCGAGAAAAAAAGGAGAGAGACGGAGCAAGAGAAGAAAAAAAACTGGGACGTCGGCCAAGAAAATGAAATAGGCGCAAAGAAATAGCGTCCGAATCAATTTATAGACCTGTAAAGGGAGATTTTCGAGAGAGAAGTAGAAGAAATCGTCGATCGAGCGATTCTTCTTTGGTATAGTTTTATTTTAGCCTCGTCTAGCTTAGTAAGCCAGCGCAGAGAATTGTGCTGCGGGTTTGCTGTTGCAGCGTCAACCCCCCCGGATTTCGCGCGATCGCAAAGCAGCCGCCGTCGCCGCTGCTGCTGCTGCTTGTGGTGTGAATCGTTCGTAAAACACAGTGCGAGCAAAAAGAAAGAAGAAAATACGTCGATTTGCGCGTAGTTTATACGTTCGTCGAGTGCGATTCGAGTAAAAAAACAAGTGCGTCGATAAGAGCGTGGAAAAATGGAGGCGATAAAGAAGAAAATTGCCTCGCTGAAGCAGGAGATGGACCTGGCCAACGAGAAGGTCGAGGCGAACGAGGTGAAGGCCAAGCAGGAGAACACCCGCGCGGACATGATCTACGACGAGGTGCGCGACCTCGAGAAGAAGCTCGTCCAGATGGAGAAGGACTTTGTGACGGCCAAGGAGACCCTCGACGCCCAGACGGCCGAGCTCGAGCGCGTCGAGAAGGCCTACACAAAGGTACGTGGGTGATGCCCCCCCAGGCTGTGTGTGTGCGTGTGTCTGTGAACTCTTAACTACGGGACTGGCATGAGATCTGTTGTTGCAGGCTGAACAAAATCGGTCGAGCATGACGAAACGCGTGAGCGACATCGAGACCCAATTATTCAAAAAGGAAGAGCTGAGATTATCGGCGCAGATCAAACTGGCCCGAGCCACCGAGCTCAATGACGACGCTAGACGGTAAGTCGCGGCCCCCCCAAAAAAATCACCTTCTACCCCATCGAATGCCACCGATCCTCGTGTATACCGATTTTTCCAGTATGTGCAAGGTACTGGAGGAGCGCAACCGATTGGACGAGGAGCGCATGGAGAAGCTGACCAACGAGCTGAAAGACGCGCGTTTGATAGCCGAGGACGCCGACCAGAAATCCGACGACATCAGCACAAAGCTCTCGCTGGTCGAGGAGGCCGCCGAGGCAGCCGAGGAGCGCGTCAAGACCAGCGAGGCCAAGATCATCGAGCGCGAGGACGAGCTCTTTATCGTGCAGAACATTGTCAAGTCACTGGTAGTCTCCGAGGAGAAGGTGAGAGCGCGCGAGCTGAGCTCCCTGTTCGAGCTTTTGCTCAATCGGCTTATCTTTTGCTTTAGGCCAACGCTAGGGTGGCCGACATGAAGGAGCAGCTGAAAGAGCTGAAAAAGAGACTCAAAGAGGCGGAGAAACGAGCTATACTGGCTGAGCGCACCGTCAAGAAGCTACTCAAGGATGTCGATTTCAAAGAAGGTACGATTACAAATAGGCTTTTCGTCGCTTTGACCCCACGATTGATTTTTTCCTTTGTTTGTTTTATCCTTTTTCGCAGACGAGCTGCGGGAAGAGAAGGACAAATACAAGTCGCTGTGCCACGAGCTCGATGCCACCTTCGCCGAGCTCACGGGCTTCTAGAGATAAGTCATCGTCCTTATATTATACATTTGTATCCATCGCTGCTTCTTACACCGCCATTGAACAAAACAATCCCAACGCACATACGCATTTTTACGCGCTTTCGCCGTAATTGTAGCTTTCTCACTTTCGCACTATCTGCTCTCTGCTTTTGTCATTGTCTTGCTTATTTTTTTTTCATTTGCTTGCTGTATAAAATAAAAAAAAATAGAAAAAATAAAACCCAATTACGGCGTGTGTACACACGAGTGCGTGTGCGCGCATATGTGCGTGTGTATGTGCTTGATACCAAATGACTACACGTATTGCCAATCGACGACGAAAGAAAAATAAAAAAGCTCCGACCTCGTTCCACATCGAGAGAGACGACGATCACCGCCAGGACCACAGACGCCGCCAGCCACGACGACAACATCATCGCAATCATCGATCATCATCGGTTATTATTATTGTATTTATTTAAATTATAATTTTAATTATTATTATTAATGCTATTATTATACATAATTATGACACGAAAAAAATCATTAAGAAAGAGATAACAATATATTTGTCTATTCGTAATAAAAACTAATCAATCTGGCCAATTTTTTATTTATAAACACACGAAAGAGTCTTCGTCTGCGCGCGTAGATAAGTCTTATATAAAGCGCCGTGCGTATATAGTAGTTTATTTATGCACCGGATAAAAATCGTAACGAGGTGGGCTGTTGACCGATTCCCTCTCGGTGATGTGTTCTCGAGAAGAAGGGGGAGAGGGCAAAAATCTCGGCATTGCTTCAACGAAGAAAAATAGCATCGAGCAACGACATCTACTACTCTATCCGTCTATCTCTCTTTTTCTCGCGTATCTCCTTCTGCTTTTCCAAACGAGTTGCATACGCATCCAGTGTGCGCGCGCGTAAAAAAAGATCTCGTTAAAGGTTTCGGGCTATAATAAAGACTATCGAGCTTGATTCGCGCGACCGTTGCAGTGCACTAGACACAGTATATCCAGTTTGACGTGCTCAAAAGAGAGACAACTGTAATCGCGCTTGCAATCGGAGCGTAGAATTAATTCGATGCCACGCGATCCATGTGATTGACGATATTGTACGGGGGCCTGATCAACCAACCGACCGAGCATGAATGCCATCAAGAAAAAGCTGCAAACTTTGAAAATCGAGAAGGATCTGGCGATCGATCGCGCCGATGCCTGTGAGCAGCAGGCCAAAGAGGCCTGTCAGAGGGAGGACAGGCTCAAGGATCAGCTGAAGGAGCTCAAGAAGAAACTGGCGCAGATGAAGGGCGATCTGGACGTGAGCAGGCAGCAGCTCAGCGACGCCAATGCCGATCTCGACGACAAGGAAAAGTCTTACCTCATGGTTAGTGTGGCAATTGTTGTATACTTACTTTTGTAGTCGTGCTATATGTAACGATCGTTCGATGCACCTCTCGATCGAGTAGGTCCAATCGGAGCTGGCCATGTTGAATCGCAAGATGCAGCAGTGCGTGGAGAATCTGGAAAAGACCGAGGAGCGGCGCACGGTGGCGCAGACGAAGCTCGCCCAGGCCCTGCACACTTGCGAGGACGCCAAGAGGATGTGCAAGAATCTGGAGAACCGCAGCAAGCTCGACGAGGAGCGCATGGAGAGTCTCGTGAGCCAACTGAAGGAGGCGCGCTACCAAGCCGAGGATGCCGACAACAAGTCCGAGCAGATATCGCGACAGCTGGCCCTGGTCGAGGACGAGCTCGAGTCCGTCGAGGATAGGGTCAAACTCACCGAGGCGTAAGTGGAACACTTTGTACACATAAGTTTCTTCGTTGGGCGCGCTTTTGTTAACGATAAGTTTGTTCCATGGTGTACGCGTATACAGGCAGATAGCTGAAAAGGAAAACAAGCTGTTCATCGTCGGCAACATTCTCAAATCGCTCGAAGTTTCCGAGGAGAAGGCCAATCAGCGCGTCGACATATTCAAGAGCCAATTGAAGCATCTAAAAGCTCGACTGAAGGAAACGGAAAAGCGAGCCGTTTTCGCGGAAAAGTCCGTCAAGTCGTACGTCACGGAGCTTGATATGAGAGAAGGTATAAATAATGAAAGATCCAATAGCCGTGAATCAACGAGTCAATTTTTTTGTCTTTACTTAAAATCAATTTGTTCGTTGCAGATCGACTGCGCAAAGAGAAAGAAAAGTTCAAGTACATATGCGCCGACTTGGACTCGACGTTCGCCGAGTTGACCGGCTATTGAAGAATGAGAGGCCGAACTTTCTTCGTCTCGTTCTCTCGCTCTTTTTTTCTCATTCTTTATACGTGCTCGTTCGTAGTAAAACACGTTGGTTGATTCGGCGTGCACGCGCGGAGGCAGCAGCAACTATTTCTATTCTCGTCCCACACTGCAGCTCTGCAATCGATGACCAAGATTCTCTAATGTTTTTTTTCTGTACTTGTTATATACTCTTTGTATTTTTGTCAAATAAATCCACTGGAGCTCTATAAGAGGCGCACGTCTTTTGCCACCGTTTGGGATTGGATCGAGGGAGAAAGGGCTATTTGAAATAATAACTCAATCACAACACAGGGCCTTTTGGGCCGATTTTTGTTTGGTAATGATGTCAATTATTACTCGTGAACGCAGAATTGTTGTTACAATTTGTTTCGTTATCATTATTTTTGTTACATTAATTTTTTTTCCAGAGATAGAGATATCTTATGCATGTTTCTCCACTCGCAATTTTTGTCATTATAAGGTACAATTATTCGCTCGGAGACGCGCGATCGCGAGTACACTTTTTTTGTTACTTTTTTTTAATTAACAACTACACACTGTGGTCGTCTAGAAAAAAACAAAGAAAGGTGATGTTCATTTACCATCCTCCTCTCTAATCTCGTTTTTTCATTATTTTAGCACGTAAAGACGTCTATACACGTATAATATCAGCCTTCGAAAATCCATACCCAAGAGGTCAATCACTCTCCACCAATAAAACTATTAGGTTTATTTGATTCTATTGTAGATACGTATAAAAACGAAATTCGCTTGTCCAAGTCTTGTGTGTGTTTATGAATGAAAGTATAATAATATCGTGAGCACGTTACATCGTGTAAGTTGATCGGTGGACGTTTACACTTTTTAATTTTTTTAAAATTCCTTGCAGCTCGATCCTTTGTTATCAAAAATTGGTTTTGCGATAAAAAATTGGTATATTAGTTAATTAATTAAGCTTATTACGGCCAGTCTTTTCGGTTGTTGGAAGTTCAAGTTGTGTTTTGATAATAATTCAAGATATGTGTATCGTGTGTTGTATAACATTGGTAAGGTAAAAGGGTACGAAAAACGATATTTTTTGGCAGTTTACGCGTTCCCGTCGAGAACGTTTCTTCATTCTCTACTTCTTTTTTTGGCTTTAAATTGAATTACGAACAACGAGATTTTTTTTTCATTCTAAGAGTGATTAGTTCTTGGCTCAAATCTTTGGCACTTGAAATAGTCTTACATACAAGAAACAACATGATGTATAACGCGACATTCCTTACTAACTTTTTTTTTGATAATAATTATATTAATAAAATCCCTAACTTGGTAAATTTCATGCTTTTTTGTCTCATCAACAGCGCGTCACAATGTAAATCGACACAGAATTAACTCTCCTAACTTATTGTGTTAATATTTTTTCACGATAAAAGATTCTTTGTCTCGCGTTATAAAACCAATGATTCGTACAAAATAATCGAATATTCAACGGCATGTATATATAATAATGTAAAAACCATAAGCAATATCGTGTATAACAGCAGTTAATAATAAAAAATCAATCGAATCAACTAATTCGATCAAAATTGTTGGTTTTACGCTCGGAAGATCTCGTCGTGGTTCATTATCAATTAATAATTCATCCTTTCTTTATTGAATTAAAATCATCAGCCACGCGCATGAACAGGTACACAAACACACACACACAAACAAGTAATTCGTTTTTAATGAGTCGAGCGACCGCGAAAAAGTCATCTGGGGATCAATTATATTTACGCATTTATATCGCACACACACATATTTTCAATCGTTTCATGTTATTATATATATACCGTCGGACGCCGCCGCGTCACAAGCGGGGATAATATTATTTTATGCATTCATTCATATATATATAGAGAGAGGTTGTTGCGAATCGCTCGATCTCATCAATTTGTACAGATTATATTCTTCGCGTGAGCCTCGGCTTCGATAGCTGAACCGAGCATTAATGCGTCAATTATCTCGCACGCACACAAACAGATCCGTTCACGGCACGTATAGAAAATACTAATACACGATCGTTAAGTACATTATATCCCTATACATAATATATATCCATATAATCGCCTCTTAATTAATAAGTACAATACAATGATAAATTTATTAATTAGTTAATGATCGTAATGAAAAGTATCAACAGTCACAATAAATACACGTTTATGCCCTATTTTTTATTAACGCATATATATCGCATGTGTGCCCCATAATATATATTATGAGCCAAGAAACGAACGATCGCACACAAACCTTTGATTTTTTACTCGTTCACATTTTGTCACGCAAACCCCCACACACTATATGGCACAGCGCAAGTTCGTCGTGTGTTCATTCGCACAGTAATAATAGTAATATAACAACAGTCGCAATACGAGCCGTGGATTCCGATCAACACTCGCACACACCAACACATGGCACATGTTTCACATTGTCATCGATCATAAAACTTTTTCTTTTTTTTCCTGTTTCTTTTTTTTTGTTCAAATTCGTTCGGAATAAAACTTTACGCGCGTCACACGCACACCACCCCCGAGGCTCGGCTCGCAGAGCTTTCATTTGATTCGTATTATGCTACAACTTTTTTTCCACACTCAGATTCGTTTTTCATATACATATACAGAAAGATTCGTTAACTTTGTTGGTATTTATTGTATTTGGTTTACATGTATTATTATTTTATTGATATACGCGCGCATCGTCGAATGCCCATGGGTTTCGTGTATATTGTAGCGATACTTTGTCAATACATAAACGCGCGGATTTATTTATTTTTTTGTATTATGAGATATTTATATTTTTTTGAATAAAAATTTGAATGTATTTGGCTTTGCCCATTGCGTGATTCTGTGTCTCGCGTCAAAAGATTTATGTGAGTGTGGCTGTGCGTTTGCAATTTACAACTTTACTGATATTTACAAAAAACGTACATTTATTATTGAGGTAGATGTCGCTTAATAACTCTTTTTTTTTGTTCATTTTGTCCGTTACGAATGCGCGTCGTGTATTGTTCACTAATATACTTTCAAAGGGGTAAATTTCTCGAGAGGATATTTACACGTTTTATAGGCAGTGGGTTTATTTTATTTAATTATTAATAATCATTAGTAATTTTTTCTTTGGATGGGATCGAGGGGGATCGAGGGGTTTGTAATTTTTAATTTTTATTTTTAATAAGTTGGTCGGTACAGTAATCATCGGAAGTGGCGCGAAGGCCGACTTTTGAGCTAGACGGCGATCGAGTAGTCGGACGAGGCGTTGTTATTTCCACCGCCGCCTCCCTGCTGCTGCTGGTGCTGGGACGACGAGGCGGCCGGTCGCGACCACAAACTGCTCCTCAGGCCGAGCTTCAGCTTCTTGATACTGTCGAAGTCGCAGCTGTGTTCCTGCTGATGATGATGTTGCTGCTCGTCCTGGTTGAAGGGCGTTTCGGCCACCGTCATGGGCGGCAGTATCGTGCGCAACGAGCTCCTACTCGGTACGTGCCATCTTTTTTTCATTTAGGTGTTCGACGAATTGGTAGGTGGAAACGACATACGTTTTATCATAGTTAGACGTTGTTTAGAGTTGAGTTGTTCATTTGTGAGTCATTTGTGATTTTTTTTTAACAATTTTTTTTTCTTTTTTTTTTTATTATCGTTTAGTCCATATTTGCCAAGTATGTGTCATAATTAAGCAGACCCGAACACTTAAACCTGCTGCTGTCGAGAGAAAACAGACACGAGAACGATAATCTTAGTAATTCGATCATTACCGCGAGCATTATCATGAAAATTATCAAAAAATATTATGTTTGATTGTTCAACAAATCGGTAAGTGGATATAACTGAAAGATATAACTGTTGTTTTGATTTTGTTATTTATACATTGTCTTTCCAAGTATTTGTTAATAATAATAATAGTATAAAATATGTAAGATTCGTAAAAGAGCAAACGTATATGTTTATATACGGTTGAATGAGGTATCATTATGTAAATAGAAAAATCAAATTTTGTTGATTATATGCACAATAATTATATACATCATGAACGTTTGATATGCAAAGAGTTGATGAATGAAAAAAATGAAGAAAGATTTAGTAACAAATGAGCGTTCAAGTGTTCTGGCATGTTTTTAAGGGGGTATACACTACACTACAAAAACTAGCGAGGATCATGATTTCTCTACGTCAAGGGATGTTAAAAAGTCAAGTCAAAAAAATCATGGCAATGAATGGATGCATGAGTGTCCGTACGTGTGTAAATATATATGCGAATGATGAATGAGAGACAAAATTGTTACGAGAGATAAATCTCACCTGGATCGACCTCGTCGGGGCAGAGACTTTTGCTCGGACATGGGCGATATGTCCGAGGAAGTGCTCGAGGCTCCGTGGTACATGAAGTCCGACACGGCTCGAACTGCCAATGGGACACATAAAGTAGGTCATTTTTGGCTAAACGAGCTTTTAGCATAGGGTTTTGAGTACAGAAGATACCGACTGTGTTTGAGCTTGCCGGCGTCGAGCTGATTCGACGACTCGGTCCGCGAGCTCGTCAGCTGGTCGGCGTCAGACTCGCTCTCGTCGCTCTCGTCGCCCGGGTGCTTGCGCTGCTGTCGGCGCCTCGACGTCACGCTCTTCAGCGTCTGCACATGCGCGAGCAAACAAAAAAACAAAACCCAACGTGATTTAGAGAAAAGCAGTTTCAGTTTGTATTTATGTAATTATTTTCACTTTGTCTCTTGCAGATTTACAGATAAAGGTACTCGCCATCTAGCAGTGGTGACTAATAGTAATTTGATAAAATTTTTTAGCAATAAAGAATTAAATCTTTTTCGTTAATTTTTACATTGAAAATAATGTATACCACGAAGATTTTATTTGGAAGTATCTTGATTGAAATTTCAACTATTCTCGTTAATAATAAAGTCTGATCTTCCATTAAATCTGCGTTTTTTTAAGGTTGTGTAATTAGCAACTAAAGCTGAGCCTTTTCTATTTCTCGATCTAAATCGGTTCATATAATTGTTTACACCCAGTGTCTCGAAAGTCGCATTTCCGCATTACAGGACAACTGCTCGGGGGAAATATTCACTTTCGGACCACCGGTATGAAAACAAAAAAAAAAAAAGATTGGGAATATTATAAATCGTGATCTTACGGTAGTCCGAGGTGGGGGACTGGCACAGCCCTCGGTCATCGCGTGCTCGTGATACATGAAACTGTGCAGCAGCGTATTGTTGCCGTGTATGTTGGAGTGATCCTGATGGCCAGCCGTGGCCAGGGCGCCCAGACCGGCCAAACCGCCCAGGCCTCCCCCGGCCCCCTCCGACAGCTGAAACGTAGCGTACGGTGAGATGTCCTCCGCCGTCTCTGCAAGCAAACGCACATCCCATCGTGTTATTATATACATACGTATCCGTCTTCATCCTATCGATCGAGGCTGCAGCTGCAACTCGCATTCGTCTCATTCTCTCTCGAGTTAACTGCTCTATACCTATATAGGTATAAAATGTCATACCTGGTATCTTGTCGGGCTTGCCAGCAGCATTCGCTTGGAGGGCAACCTTGTGTATGGTCGCGTAGTATCTCTCCCGCTGGGTCTCGGCATTCTGCTGGTTCTCCTGGGACTCCTTGAGAGGCCTGCCCATGCGCTCGCTGCTGCGACGACCAGCAGCCGCCCCGGAGAATCCTGCAACGTGCGCGAGATTGGCGTGTGAGTCGAACCCTTTGCCGCCTCGGAGCGCTTATCAAGCTTGATACAACGCGCTCTCTCTGATATATGTGTTGCGCGCCCGTAATAAATAATATATACGAGCGCGTACAATAAAAGGGAATGTCTATGGGGGATATCGCACTCACTGTTGCGCCAGCGCGCCCCGATGCTCAGGGCGGCCAGCAGGAGGGCGGCCAGCGCCACCAGCACCGGCAGCAGCAGCCTCGAGTCGGCGTAGAAGGACCCGGCGCCGCCGGCCCCGCCGATCCCGCGCTCGGCCAACTCCGCCGGGGGCACACCCTCGCGCGTCAGCGTGACGAAGGTGAACTCGGCCTGGTTGCTGCCCGCCGCGCTGTAGGCCTCCACCTTGAGCTGATAGACCGAGCTCGGGGCCAGATTCGTCACCAGGAAGCGGCGCTGGGCGCGCACGTTGTTCGACACCAGGGTCCAGTGGAAGTCGTTGATGGGCCGGTACTGCACGACGAAGTACTCGATGGGGCAGCCGTTGTCGGGCCACGCGGCGAGTCGCAGCGCCAGCGAGCTCGAGTTGGGCGCCAGGAAGGCCGCGGCCGCGGGGATTCCCGGTGGCTGGCCCTGCGTGCGCACCGACAGAACCGGCGACGCGGCGCTGCTGCCTATCTTGTTGTGCGAGCTCAGGTACAGCTGGTAAGTGTTGCCGCACATGAGACCCTGTGAACCAGAGAAAAAGACGTTGAACGTGTTGTTGCACGGGATCGCGTGTACGAAAGCTCCCAAAAGAAATCGAAGGCTTCTACGCCGTGCATATTATTTTATATAAAAAGCCTTAGCAGAAACGAGCAACGTTTGGTGACTAATTCTTGGTCGGCAAAAATTTTCTTGGACAAAAAAAAAGAAATTGAAACATGAAATTTGTAACGAAAAATCGAGTACTTGATTCAAACTCGAGGAAACAACTCGAACTCGACGAGTCGAGTTTTTTCGAGTACTCGCATAGCCTTCCGCTGCACCAGAGATTGTGAGATTTTCAAAAAACCACTCTTTGACTTATACAGTTATTTTTACTTTGACACTTGCAGATTTACTGACGAAAGGTATTCGCCATCTAGTGGTGGAATTTTCAAGTTATTGGTATCGTTTGAAATAAATTTAATATTTTAAACATAAATGTAACAGAAAAATGACCAAAAATAAATCAACTTATGGGCATGTATCTTGAAAAATTTTAAAGAGTAAATTTTTGTCACGAAGCAATTAATCGTGTCGAGCATTGCCATCAGGGTAAATTTATATCAATGCAGCAAACTATTGATGCACAATCTTGGCATACATCGAATGCTCATATATTTTGCGATATTACTCGCGTCGTAGAATTTGTTTAAAGAAAATTCCCTTCAAAGAGACAAAAAAAAGAGAGAAGAAAAAAAACCTAGTGCATGAAAAAAGCTTCGCACAAACAGCCTCACGCGCGTATCAAAAAGCGATTGAAATTTTTCATTTTTATGAAAAGTCTGCGTCGGAAAGGTGCGAGAAAGTATGGCGCATATCGAAAAGGCTCTCGTGAAAATCGATCTTTTTTTTCTCGCAATTTTAAGATACCTATAAGCCCTTGATATAGGCCGAGCGTATATTATATGCGCGCGAGAGTATACATCATCAAAGGCCAATTTGCAAATGGGTCGCCGTGTATAACGCGTGCGACGATAAAAAGCAGCAGCAGCATCGTATGTATACGTAGGCGTGTAGAAGGTAGCCGCTCAGCTCGAGCTTTGCGTTTAATCTCTCTACTCTGGTGCGCGACGACGACGAGCTGCGGGAGGGAGCTTTAAACTCGCACACGCACACACTATGCTATATAGGATATACGTACCTTGAGCTCGTGGCTGGTCGATCTGCGCGAGAGCTGCATCTCCTCGAGGGTGCCGTGAGTGGTGCGATAATGCAGAGTGTACTTGGTGAGGGGCGCGCCGCCATTGTGGCCGGGCTTCCAGTGCAGCAAGATGCTGGACGACGTCGAGCTCGACACGTAGAGCACAGGTGCGCTCGGCGGCACTGCAATATCATATGTATTACACACGTGGCCATTCGTCATTCGTCGTCCTCGTCGTACATAATGTATACGTAACGCGTTACGAAATCGCGATTCAGAGGCTCGTAATGTATCGTCGCTTCGAGACTACCATCTCTATGAATAAATTAGGGCTTGCGTAATATAATGCCAAATCTCTCTCACCTTGCACGACCAGATGATAGTGAACGCGATCGCTGCCCTGCGAGTTCTCCACCTGGCACGTGTAATTGCCCGCGTCCTGGGGCTGCATCGACGAGAACACGAGCTCGCCGCTCTGCAGTATCTGTATGTTGCGGCTCGAGTCCGTGTGCACCTGCTCCAGGTTGGACTTGTACCAGTCGCGACTCGTGGGATCGCCCACGGCGCTGCACTGCAGCGTCGCCGAGCCGCGCCACGGCCTCACCACCTGGCCGCCGAACGAGGTGATACGGGCCGGGACCCGATTGGTGGGCACCTGGGCGGCCACCTTGGAGTTTTGGCCCTCGCCCACGCGAGTGCTGGCCGTCACCCAGAACTGGTACTCGACGTGCTGCTGCAGGCCCGTCGCTTCGAAGTACGTGTCCGCGGCGGGCAGCGTCCGTTTGCCGTGATTCAGCTCCTGTCGGCCGTCCACGACTCTGCGCACACACACCAACAGACAGGAGCACGCGTCAATCGTAAATATATCAACGTACACGTCGAGTTTCGCGAGTTAGATAGATATAGAGTTGCGCCAAGAGCGAGAGAGACGTGTAGACAGCGCGGCGCATTGATATTCATGAGCATCTCCGCTGGTACGTGCACGCCCGCGCGTTACCTACAGCAGCAGTGTAACATGTAGCGGGCGGAGAGTTGCGCATCTCGAAGCTATATAGCTGCTGCCTAGACAATGGCTCATTGTTCGGCCCGACAGAAATGCCATTTAGTCATTATATTCTATATATCAACGTTTCTTCTCTCGCTCCCGAATTCTGCTGCTGGCGAAAGCTCTGTGCAGTGCCGCGCGAGAGAGAGCAGCATCTGCTATATAGGCTGCCACTCTACTCGCGCTCGCTTCTGCCTTGGTTCGAGTTCCATTTCGCGCTCGACCCACCCTCGACTGCTACTACACATCGGCTACAATTGGGAGCGATAAATCATACAACGTATACGCGCGCGAGCGCAAAAAAATAAGAGGGAAGAGAGAGAGAGAGATCGATCGCTTTTTCTTCAACTCGCCAGTTTATATAGAAAGTATTAGTACTGTGCGCGTCGCGCGCGGTAAGCAACCGGCAAAAAGGATAGAGAGAAAGAAGATGGAGAAGAAGAAGAAAAAAAGGTAAGCGCGCGAGTGGTATAACAGGAAGTTGGGAGTGGAAGGAAAAATATCGAAGCGAAGGAAAATAAATGTATTGGTATAGAAGAAGAAGAGAGCAGAAGAGTGAGAGAGGTATATAAAGTTGCGGGTGCACGTACCTGGTGTATAGGTTGTACTTGGTTATCAGTCCATTGGGCTCGACCGGTGGCAGCCAAGAGATAAATAGAGCTTGCGGCGAGCTTACGACCACTTTAATGTCCGCCGGACTGCCTGGAACTGTATATCAGTGCCACCCACACATAGAAAATCGATTAGTTGTTTGTATAGATATAAGCTCACACACATACAGCACACAAATCTCTCTGGAGGACTACTCGTGCGGTGCTGCACTTCTTCCTCTCTCCCTCTCGCGCGCACATGTGCCATGTGTGTGTGTGTATTTTGTAAAAGGACACACATGAGAGAGGAAGAGAGGAAGAACGACAAAGAAATTGCGCAAATGCTGCTGTATAAAACGTACCGTCTTCCTCCGTGTGACAATAGAAAACTCGGCTGGCCGCGCCGTCGCCCACTCGCGTGTAAGCCAACACCTGGATGCTGTAGTTGGTGTATTTGCGAAGCCCATTTACCACCATGGTCAGGGCGCTCGTTTTTCTCACCTGCTCGGCGCGTGTAACAAACGAATAAACACAGACAAGTGAAAAAAAAAAAAAAAAAGAAAAACAGAGGAAGCAGAAGAAGAAGTAGAAGAAGAGGAAATTAATCGAATCCAACTGTGTGTGCAAGCACTACAGCTAGCTTATGGCCTCACCTCCATCTCGTCGACGCTGGGATGGGACTCGCCGAGGATGGGCTCGTAATTGAGTTTGTAGCCCTGGACTATGCCGTTGGCGTAGCTGCTCGGCGGCGGCTGCCACGAGACTTGCAGCGACTCCGAAGTCAGCGCGACGCAGCGAACGTCCTCCGGCGGCATTCCCGGAACTGTGTGAAGCAAATGATGGTGGGTTTGCGCGGGGGGAATTTTAATTATGGACAGGATAAATCAAGCATCGACACTCACCATCTTCGAGGGTCTGCGTCGTGAGGGGTTCCGAGAGCGGACCCGAGCCCACCTGATTGTAAGCCTGAACGACGAGGCTGTAGCGCGTGAAAGGCCTCAAGCCGGCCAGTCTCAGCTCGGCGCCTCCTTCCTCGCCGTCGCCCGGCACCGAGGTGAAATTGAACGAAGGACTGCTGGCCGAGCTTTCACGGTAACCCACGTTGAAGCCCTCGATGTCGCCATGTCGCAGCTCGGCCATCGGCGGCAGCCAACTGAGCAGCAGCTCCGTCGAGGACAGAGCTCGAGCGGCCAGGTTGACGGGCGGTCCCGCGGGTCGCTGGGGCTCGGTACGCACCACCAGCTCGGCACTGGGCGCCGATCTACCCGCGGGGCCCTCGGCTATCACCCGGATCACGTAGCGGGTCGCGGGCTTGAGATCGTCGATCAGGGCGGCGTAGGGCAGAGGCGGGCCCACGAGCTCTTGCTGCTGCCACATGCCCTCGGGGCCACTGGACAGCTCCTTGTACTGCAGTATGTAACGGCTGATCTCGCTCGAGTCCTGGGCCTTGTGCTGCCACTTGACGTTGACACTGCGACTGGCCAGCATGGCCGTCTCGAGCTGGACCGGCGCCTGGGGTGGCTCCTGCACCAAAAGCTGGACCAACTGCTGGTCCCGACCGTAGAGATTGCTCGCCTGGCAGAAGTAGGCGCCGCTGTCGGTGGCCTCGGCCGACGAGATCTGCAGCTGGGCCACGACGCCGTCCGGGGTCGACTCCTGTTTGACGGCTACCCGATAGTTGGTCGACGGATTCATCTCGTCCTTGCCGCCCTTGAACCAGCTCACGGTGACGGGCTTGTCGCCGTGAACCTCGCAGTGCAGCGTGGCCGTGTCGGCTTTCTTCACCGTCACGAGGCGCGACGGTGCGGCGAAGAAGGGTGCAGCTACACGACGAGCACGATGAGAAAAGAAAAGAGAGCATGAGCGTTTGCGAACACGCTTATTGCGAGTATTACCGCGAGGCTATTTGCAAGTTTTTCCTCGCGCCTCTTGGCGTTATTATTATATATATACGTGGCGAGAACACGCGGCGCGCGGATATCTATATGATTGGGGCCGAGCAGCAGCGACTATGCGCGCGCTATGGACGTGGCCAAGTACATAATGAAGAAAGTTTGATTGAGATGGGGATGGAGTTGGTTATTCCCCCGAGGCGTCCTTACAGCGTAGCTCGGCAAGCTTGCCTTAACCTACTAGGAAAGGTAAGTCGTGACAAGGGAGCCGCAGGGCTGCGAAGGAGGCTTACTACCAGCTACAGTTATAATATCGGCGACGTGCGTCTACCACCGACGTATATATATAGTTATATAAAACGTATTAAGTAACGGGGGAAGGGGGCTGTGCTGTGTTGGGGCTTACAATTGACTTTGAGCTGGATGACTTTGCCGATGCCGGAGCCAATGCCGTTGCTCGCTTGGCACAGGTAGAAGCCCTCGCGGTCTTCCTTAACGTGCTGCAGCACCAGTGTGCCGTTGGCCAAGATCTTGGTGTAGGGTCGCTCGCGCAGCTCCTCGTACTCGCCAGACTTGGCACCTGTGTCGATGATTTCGTTTTGTTTTTTTTTTTTTTACGAAGAAGGAGGCAAGAAAAGGGAGAAAAGACATTAAAACAAGAGACATCTCGAATTGGAGCTGCTGCGATGCTTTATATATAAAATATATATAGCAAAGCTGCAACGCGAGGCGAAGGAAATACAATACTTTACCGGTGGCTTTTTTCCACACGATGTTCGGGGCTGGTACGCCCTGAGCCTGACAGTGCAGGGCTACGTGACGGTTACGCTCGACGCTCGTGTCGCTCGGCTCGACGATCCAGCGCGGCGGCACTGAAATTGCCAGACGTTCGCACTTTACTACTTTACGCGTCCCTAACCTGCCTCAGAGCTCGTCGTTCAGCTTTTCTTATATACATATACGTACTATGTAGCATGTACACAGTTAAACGCATTGTTGCAAGAGAAAGAGAAAGAGAGAGTAGAGTAGAGAGAGAGAGAGAGAAAGAGGTAAAGCAAATAACTAAATGTGCCACGTTTATATATACGAAATATCGATTGCGTCTCCGTTGCACTTTTAGCTTAGGTACACATACAACAACTATGCGTAAGCGCGAGAGAGAAAGTTTGTTCTTGCCTCTCGCTCGTTTGCGCACAGTTGTTGTTGAACGTTTTGGATTTTCTTTTTCATTTACTCGTTTTTTTTCTTTTCTTTTTTTTTTTTTTTTTTTTTTTTTTTTTTTTTATTTATTTAGACTGACTGAGGCAGGTAGAGACGAAGCGAGAAAAAGTATAAATTGCATTAGTGAATAAGAGATGAGAGCATTTTTTGAACGCTATTTCGTTCAATTATTTATATAATGGATTATATATTTACAAGTTTTTTTTTCATTTGTACAAAATATATTACACTCTTAAACATTTATTGTATCAAAAAGAAGTAGAGTTGAAAATATGGAAATCAAAAAAATTATATATTAAGTAAATCTGAAAATTTTATAAGAGAAAAGAGAATTGTTTTTTTTTCTTTTTTTTTTGAAATTTTTTGAAATTTTTTTATAATAAAATATAATGGAAAAAAATTTTTTTTTTCGAATAATATTCATTAAATTCAACAATTAAAATTTTTAAATTTGAATGACAATGAGATAAAGATAATTTCAAAAATATTTTTTATGTTATATTAATAAGTAGAAGAAGAGGATAAAAATGTAATCATATAAAAGTTAATTTGAGACAAAAACTCTGAAGCGAGTTTTGAATTAAATTTGAAAGATTCGTACGTGACGAAAGTTTTAATTAAATTTTCAAAACTGCACAATGTTCCATGATAATATAGAAAATTTTAATTTAAATATTTTTTGAGGTATTCAGAGTGATAGAATGATAGATTGTAGGAATCGAGTCATCTGCAAGACATTTTAACTGAATCATGCTCTCGCGCTTTATTATCTGTTAGAATGCACAAGATCCGTAAATGGTAGGAAGCAGAGAGAAAAGTGACAAATTTTTAGAGAATAAATCATGTTAAAATGACTTGCATCAAAAGTCTGAGAAATCGTGTTTTTCCAGGTGTGTACGTGTTCAAGTGAGCTACTTGGTTACGATATTGCGAGTATTATATACGCTGCGACAAGCGAGATTTACAAATATTTTATATGAACATCGGTGATTTATCAAAATCCAGTGAATAAAATTCAAACAAACGTACAATAAGCAAAATAATGTTTTAAATTAAATAAATATATAATTCATGACAAAAAGATATGAAAAAGAAAAGCAGGATTTAAAAAGCAAAATGCATATCACAAAAAAATATAAATATGGCTCGTTAGACTCGGAAAGGTAATACCACGGAATATCGCCGGTGCATTTATATATCTGAAAAAGTCATTATTCATCTCTAATGCGTTTTCCTGAGGATTTAAAGGGATCAGCCAGGATTTGGCTAATTATTATTTATTTTCATTTCTGCAAAGCCAACCGCGCGCTGTACTATATTCCGCACCCCAACGAGCCGTACGTATTTATAATATTGTACATCCTTCGCTGCTCAACTCAGCTGCATACCGCGCGCCACGTTTTATCATTACATTTATAATAGAAATTAAGCCAAAAGTGCTTTTCCCGGAATGAAAATAAGTATACACGAAAACTGATACGTTAGTTTATATTATATGTAGGCAACAAAATCGTACATTATTGTATTTGCGATCGTTCGCATCGTTTAAAATTGAGCGTGTACGAGATGTTCGGCTCGCGTATATATTTTTTTAAAAGCTCCAAGAGAAATGGAATTACGATCGCGCTTGGCCTGCGCCGTGCTAGAAGCGAAAAATATAATGGAAAATCGGAAAAAAAGATGTTGAAATAAAGTGCATTCAAAAAATGGATGTAAAAAAATTAGCAAGAGGACCAGCGAAAGCGAAAAAACAGCAATAGAGTATAATAAAATTATTAAAGAAAAAACCATCTAAGCTTGAAAATCGATATCGATAAATACTGTGAGATAAGAAAAAATGTTTATAGCCAATGTTTAAAGAGAAAAAGAGAGAGAAAGAGAAAACGTGAATATATAAGATATATAAAATTCAAAAAAGATGCGACTGTAGTAATACAATTTGCAAGAGACATAACAGAGAGATTAAAAAGAGATTCGTAAATGTAATATGCATTTTAGAAAAAAAAGTAAGGAAAATCATGCGAAAAAAAGGTGCGACGTTGCGTCGATCTCCAGAATGTCCAGCCGTGATTTATTGCATCCCCAAACGTATATTATATGTACACATCTAAACCCGGGAGCATTGCAGGCATCGACTACGAAAGTCGTTTGGCATACAAGCTCTTGACTATGTATGTATTATATACACACCCGTACATGAGAGTGTACGTATCAGTAAGGGTATATAATGTACACACATACACGCTCGCGCACATACACACACTCACACGTATTATGTACATAGAGATTTTTATATTATTATGCAAAATATCGATCATGCTTGAAGTATATAGCTACGAGAGACAGGTGAGTGATAAAAATAGAAATATTACTGCTATGTATATAAATATACGTAATTCATAATATTATATAAAGTGACTTGAAAGGGCGTCGAAGGGTGCCTCTTATCGTTTTATAAACCCTATGTCATGCATAATAATTAAAGATAGTATGTACAATATATGATGGCAATATATAATATGTATACAATATATACATATAGAGAGAGAAAGAGAGAGGTGAGAAGTGAGAGGAAAAGAGAGAAAAAAAAAGAGAGAAAACGAAGAGAGGCTGCTGACTCCAATGAAAAAAAGTGAGAGAAGGTATATAGGTGGTGGTGGTGTGCTGCAATTTCATTACCTTGATCGAGCGATCGGACTTTCTGATTGTACAAAAAGAGAGAGAATTAAAAAAAACAAGCAAAACCTTCGATCTGCGTGAGTGGATTGATCATATAATAAGGGCGTGTATGCGGTGGTGGATCCATCGATGATAACAGTAAAAATCATCACACGCACGCACTCGGATGGACATGAATATTATATAAATAGCTCTTTTTTTCCTTATAATGTACTCTAATAAAATATGTCGGCAATCAGTGAATAAAGAAACTATAAGATAGAGCTGATAAGTGATATTCATATATATAGAGAGAGAGATAATATAATAGAGGCAAAAGCATCAACGTTTAATCAATGTAATGCGTGTGTGAGTGACGATCATATTATGCGAGAGGGTATATACGATGTTTTGGTGCGCGCGAAGCTTGATTGGAAAACACGTCGAGGCTTCTTTGTTGCTGTTGTTGTTATTGTGGTTGTTGTTGTTGTTTTTGTAGCTGATGATGATGGTGATGATGGTGATGACGATGGTGACGATAATCGTGAGGATAATGACGACGATGTTGTTGATGTTATCGTTGGTTTTGACTGAGGGATGACGATGCGACGATCAGGAGCATTGCAGCACTGCGTCGATGATTGGAATTTGTCGGGGAAAAAGCTCGGATACGTGCCCATAGGCGCTCCACGATACGCAATCACGAAAACACAGTGAAATTTTCCGGAATCGATCACGTCGCGAGCATAAAGCGTATATACATCCGTCGGAACGCCGTAGGAATATACTATATACGCACGCACGATCAGGTCGAAAGGAAAATTAATCTCTCATTGTTCATCGGCACGGATGATCTGTCGCGCGCGTGCCTGGCGAATATAACTCCGAGAGCCGGTGATAGGAGAGAAAAAAAACGATGACGGCAAGTCGCGATAAGTAACTCGTTCGATTTTCCACTGCCATGCACATACACTCGCACACACATGCTCTCAATATATAGAGTGAGAGAAAGAGAGAGAGAGAGAGAGCTCAGGACGCGGAGGAAATGGTCCAGCGTGTTTGTTGAACGTAGTCAATATTTACCCTGTCCTTCTCACGCGCTATCTCTCTCTCACCTACGCTATTGCGAAAACTAGTTTTCTAGCAGGTGAATCTACAGCGATATAGCTCTAGGACGTATACACACACGGGAGCGCGTATATAATAGTTAGCAGCCCCCCCACGTAGGTAACACCCGCGCGCGCGAGCGAGCTCGTCTACACGCCGGCCAATTAGTTTCTCGCCTCGCTGAGTATTTGGAACTATATAACGAGCAGTCCCGAAAAGCTCCGAATAATCGCTGCATATCATCTCTCGCTTTTGCTGCTTGCCGCTGCTGCTACTGCTACTACTGCTGTTGCGAACAATCTACAAAGTTTCGCGCGTATTATGTGTGCTTGCGCGCCTGTATATGGGTAAGTGTGGTGGTAATATGTGGGACTCTGTTTCGAGGATAGAGAGGGAGAGAGAGACAGAAAAGAAGAAAGAAAAGAAAAGAGCAGAGTATGTCACGATCTCGGAACACAAGAGAGAGTGACACGTGTGTGGGCCGGGTACAACAGAAAGAATCGAGCGCGAAAGATAGATATAGAGAATAGAGAATAGAGATAGAGAAAGAGAGAGAGAGAGAGAGAGAAGGAGGTGTTAGTTACCTTTGACCTGGAGCTTGGCGGTGTACCTGACTTCGGCTGCGGGGTTCGCGGCTACGCAAGTGTAATCGCCCGAGTGCTCGGCCGCCAGATTGGATATGCTCAAGAGGCTGGAATAAGGATCTAATTGGGACACATTGACGACCGAGGCTAATTTCGAGGGCAGGGGAAACGGCGATTGGCCGTCTTTCAGCCAGGATATGCTGAGGGGCGGATCGCCGGCCGCGACCCCGCACACCGTCCTCGTCCTCATGCCCTCCGACAGACCCTCTTGGAAGTTAAACGGCTCGATAATAGGGGGTACTGGTGACAGTAGTGGTGACAGTGGTGGTTGGTTGGTGTGGTCGGCAAGAGACAGACAAAAAAAAAGAAAAAAAAAAGAGAGAAGAGCACAGAGCCACTCGTGAGATATACTTTCAGAAAGAGAGACAACACGCTAAATATATACATATTCGTCATATGTCATGTATGCATATAATCATTTGTTATATATCTATGACTGCACCCCCGCGTCGTCCGATGGCACCCACTCTGCCCTGCTAAAGATTTTTTTGTCTTTTTTTTCAATTGCACCTTCGATTCAAGCCCTTACATCATTTTAGAAGTATGTATTCATCTAAATTTCATGATGCAGAAAATCTAAGAGAGATCTTTAATAATATGTAAAAAAAAGTAGTCACATGCGTGCGGCTATTTATATAATATCATCGTGCAATGCAAGGGCTTGCCTCATAAAATTAGCTCCTTCAAATTGTATATTTACAATGGTCGTATAATTCTTATTAATATGTAACAGCTTATGAGTTAATGCTATTTGCTAAAAATAATATTTATATAATAGATATTTATATATTTATAGGTATAATAGAAAATATATTTATATTATATGTATATTCGTATTTTTATGGTTCAAATTTTAAAAAGGTAAAAAAGAGGTGGACGAACAAAGAGAAAAGAGAGATAGAGATAGAGACAAAAAGAGAAATATTATTTACAATAGATATAAATATATGTATAAAAGCTTAAAAATAATTAATATGTACAAAAATATATGTTATTTGTCAACGATCAAACATACACACACACATACATGTATATTTTATATATAGTTCGAAATATTAAAAGTATAGAGTGTAATAACGAAGAATATAATAGTAAGTAATTAATAGTAGTAGATAATAACAGTGGCCATAACAAACACAGTAGAGTATAAAGTTGAAATAGAATAGCAATGTAGATTCAAAAAAGATGTATATAGTAGTATCGAAGAAATTTTGGCTCCAAAACAGACGGAGAGCCCAGTTCAGCCCCTTTTGAATAATGTAAATATATACACAGACATACGTACGATTTACACACGTATAAACAGAAAGTATATAACGTAAAGTATATAAAGAGAAATATGTATAAAAGTTATTTACATATACAATTATAGTGTATAAGGCCTGCGAGAGTCGCAAAGGCGAAATTTATTGCAACGTAAACAGTCGTAAAAGAAGCATATAAAACGCACACACGCCTTTACTCTCTTTCCTTGCGCCCACATATATACCCATTCGTTCATTTTGTACACATACATATACACAGAGAGAGAAGGAAAGAGAAGAGAATCTATATATCGTAAAAGTCGCTAAAATCTCTAGATCATGTCACATATTGTCGAGAAGATCACGATGCCAAAGTGATACATATCAATATACGTACGTACATGCTCGGGTGTGCTGCTGACGCTCGTTCCTCGGCAGCTCTCCTGGGCTCCATCGATAGACATATCGCGTGTCGGCAGAGAGGCATGCATTAATATCATAACAGAACGTCCCACAAGATGCAACGCACCCACACTCTCACACTCGCACCCACACGCATACGCATTCGCAGAAAATAATCGTACGTGAACAACGAAACAGTAGAAGTAATAGTATTCATAAAAAAAAGGTAAAAAAATCAAGAGAAGTTATAGAAAAAGTCAAAGTGTGTAACGTAATATTATAAAGATGCACCAGGGGCTGAGACAGGCTCGATCCGTCTGATAATCGGAGCGCTTATTTTTTCTGCTCTTTTTTTTTTGCTCATAAAAAGAGTCCGATCGTGATTTCGGCTAGCAAAATCACGCATTGCGGAATGCGGCTTGAGAATTACCATGAACCATGAGTCGTTGGGTGTGCGACACCTCGGCCGCGGCATTGCGCGCCACGCACGAGTAATTGCCGTTGTGGTCCTGAGTGAGGGCCTCGATCATCAGGATGGAGTTGAACTGATCGACGCTGGTGACGGTGACGCGCTCGGACGGGCCCATGCTGCGGCCGTCCTTCAACCAAAATATCGTGAGGGGCAGATCGCCCCGCGACACCGAGCAGGTGAGCGTCGTGCGCTCGCCAAGGTGCAGGTCCTGGTCGGCCGTGAACGGGCTTATTTTCGGCGGTACTGAAACGTCACACAGAAAAATTCGGCCGGTAAGCTCGGTTGGGCTCTACCTACTCTTAAGCGCGACACATGGACCGTGGACGAACGCGTTGATTGTCATCCTCTCTGCTTGACACTCAGCTCAGCATGCCCAAGTCTCCGAGCCCTTTAGCTTGGTACCTAGACGCCTGCTTAAATAATGGAAACGGCATGCAGAGAAAAAAGAAAGGACCAAAAAAAGAGAGAGAGAGAGAGAAAAGGGAGGATCACTACGTGTAAAAAGTCAGATCGGTCGACTCACCGATTACCGCGACGTCGCCGCTGCGACGGGCCGTGTGGCCCTGCTTGTTCTTGGCCCAGCAGGTGTAGACGCCGCTGTCGACGGACTTCTGGACGCTCGATATGACGAGGGTGCCGTCCGGCTGGACCTTCTGGCGCAGATCGTCGGGCAGCTCGCGGCCCGCCCGCTCCCAGCGGATCTCCTCGATGGGATAGCCTGCCACGGGACACTTGAGGCGCAGCGTCTCGCCCGCGACGGCCGTCACTTTCGGGATCAGCCTTATGTACGGTAGACCTGCGCTCCGAGAACGAGAGAGAAATGTGAAAGTTTTCGAGAGAGAGAAGCGTTGACGTTATATAAAACTGGGACAGTCCGTGAGAGAGCTGCCTGACAGCTGGAGAGGCAACGAGTTGGCGAGAGAGAAAGAGCAACTTTTGCCGAGCAATATCAAATGTTCATAATGCGTCGCGCGCAAGAATGAAGATGAGCCCTCGACGAGAATGAGCAAGTTTTCAGCTCGCACTCGGGGACCAGGCGCTACCGAGCGCGCACAGCCCCAGCACGCATATATTCTATATAAACTTGGAAAGTGAAAAGTTGCTTTTCTTTACTTTGATATTCATTCTCAATCCCGCTTAAAGCTCTCTCTCTCTCACCAACTCCGTCATTCATTCTCTGATATAAATGTGCTCCGCGCGCTTTTGACCCAGAGAAATTCATCTTCGTCCTTTTCTCCAACTCGGCTTCTAGCTTCACTACCGAGTATAAAGTATAAGTAAGTAATGCAAGAAAAATATTTACCATAGATGTTGAGCCTGGCCGAGTGGCTAACCTTGCCGGCGCGATTCTCCGCCGTGCAGGCGTACTCGCCGCCGTCCTCTACCACCACGTGGCTGATGTTCACGTGCGATATCACGTCGCCGTGCACCGTCACGTACTGGCCTATCACGAACCTAGAGCCAACATAGCGGACAAATTTTTTAACACACAGCCTATACGTATGGTATATGTGCTTGTAAAGCTCGTATACCTATACACGCGATGCTCTTCCTCTTTTTTTTTGTACGTACGTACGTACGTCCGTTTGTTTTTTGGCAAAGTATCAAAAAGATCGAGACTGACCGCAGGATAATAAAAAAGGAAAAAAAGTAAAGGCCATCGCGAGCAAACAAAAGATATAGGCATCGCACGTGTACAGTGGTACCTCTCTCGGCCCCGCGCACGGCCGCCTGTCGCTATCCGATATACTGCTCAGCCTTTAATTTTCCATCGAATTTTTCATTTCTCGTGCAAACTTTTTTTTTGCCAGCTCTCTCTCTCTTTCTCTCGCACCCGAGTCCCCGGGAACGCGCGCAGCTGGCATGCAGAATTCAGACTCGCGCAGAGCTGCTCTATTATTACAACAGTTATAACGATGCATAATTTCCGAGGAAAAACTCGAGCGCATAAAGGGAGTACTTTCTTTTAAAAGCAGTTTTAGCAGTCCATTTTACGTCGCTCTCTTGCTCTTTATCTGTGTGTGTGTCTTATGTGTGTGCGTGCGTTCTCTGTGTGTGTTTGCTGTTTCTTTTTTAGCCGCACCCAGGCGAGGCTAATACGAGCAAACTTTTTGCAGCCTCAAAACTTTTAGCGGGATAAAAAAAAAGCGGGGAAAAAAATCGAATAGCCCCAGCACCGAGGCGGACAAGGGGGAGGAGTAAGGGCATCCACTACATCATAGTGTATACCAAAATAATGTACGCGCGAGTGTGTCTGTGTGGCACAAATAGACGCGCGAGAGAGAAAGCTGGCCCGCTATCACGTGCGATATCGAGGAGCGCGTTACGCGCGCCATATGATGCCACGCAAGCTGCGACGTATACGCTCCTCGTAATCATCGTAGAGCTGACAATTTTCCAACTACAATGCGAATGGCTTTTTATCATTTATCGAGATTAACTTTCATTCAACCCGATAGTGGTGATGTAGTTATTTATGTGTACACAACTTCAACTCATAGTCGAATGGCCGTATCAACTTACGCACACATGCGAAATTAAAATATACTCCCGTTTCGGCATTAAAAATATAGTAAAATTCTGCCTTTTCTCTTGTGGCTTCTGAGAATTCGCTAATGCGCCATCTAGCAGTAACTTGAGTACTATATGATGTTTCGCTTAGTAAGAATGAGACTGACTTAAGCTTCAGAAAATACTTACAACAATACGTATTTCTGATGCTCGAATTAATATTTATCTAATTATTCGTTATTTACCAAGATGCCTGGAACCTCGTTCCTCGCGTTATGAAAGATTATTTGTACCAAAAAAATTAAAAAAACTATATCTCTTCGAATACATTCGCGCGCTCTAGATAACGATCATTATATAAACTTAAAAAATTTACGGGGGGCAGCAGCACTTACCTGGCAACCGTGGGCAGTGGAAATCCGTCGAGGGTCCAGGTGATCTGGGGCGTGGGATTGCCCGCGGCGGAGCACTTGAGCGAGACCGCGGGCCCGGGCTGCAAGGTTTGCTCGATGAACGAGTAGAGAAAGACGGGCGGGGCGTCGCCCAGCTGCAGCTCGGCGGCGGCCTGCGCCGTGTCGCCCTCGGAGCGTCGCACGATGCACTGGTACATGCCCCGGTCCTCGCGGCCGATGCTGCTTATCCTCAGCAGCTCGCTCTGACGCCCGGTGCCGGGCAGCTGTCTGCCGTCCTTGTACCAGGTGACGAAGTGCGGGCCCGCCTGGGGATGCGAGCCGATCTCGCAGCGGAACTCGGCGCTGCCGCCGAGGTGCACGCTCAGCAGCGCCGGCGACACCTCGACGTGCAGGGGTGCCGTGACGACCAACCTACGACGTGGACAGAATAACACCGAGTCATACGGTGCACCATAAATATACTAAGAGATATATATGGCGAACATCGTCATTGCTGTATTATGGAGCATCGTATAGGCAAAGGTGCGCTCGTACACACGCACTTTTTCATTTGTCTTTTGTTTCCTCCTTCTTTTCTTCTCGGCTATATTCTCGGGGTGCGCTCGTTCGCTCGTGCCGTATAACTACGCGCTGCCATAGACGTAGCATAGTCAGGCAGGCTGCTGCCACGTAAAATTGCGCGCGCGCTGCACACGCTGCACGATGAGAAATTGCGCTCGGCTGCACGAAAAAAAAATCGCGCGCGCGCTCGGGAAAAAGGCGCAGCGAGCTGCACGTATATAATAGAAAGGCTGCTGCTGCTGCTACGCGAAAGCGGGGATGAAGCAGGAACGAGCGAGAGAGAAGCCGACGCCGCGCCCAAGCAGCAGCAGCAGCAGTGCGGCGCCCGTTGAACGTAAAATGAACGTCATATTTTTCACGGCTCGTGCACACGCGAAACAGAATACTTGCGTTTTTCAACTTCGGGAACGTACTCGTACAGCAGGCAAGTGTGCGCCGAGCTAGCTGCAGAGCTTCGAGTATGGGAAAAGAGAGAAATGAATTTCTCCTTTTTATTGTTGCTCGGCTACATAGCTATACACTTACAAGCCTGGTGGTACACCTTTTGCGAGAGAGCTAAGAGAGATAGCTCTCGATCGTCGTCCGCGTGTGCAGCGCCGAGAGTATGGTTATACCTATACCGCACTCGCTTAACATATAGATACAAGACAGCCCTTCTTTTTCTCCGCAAAGATTTTCTCCGCAATTCGAGTCGATTTATACATAGTAGTAGAAGATATATACTATAGGTACGTGCACATACCGACTTCCCGCATATATATACGAGAGAGGAGAGAGAGCTACGCGCGGTCAAGATCGATGAGACGCGCGCGCGCGCTTGCTTCTCTCTACTCTATATCTCTCCGCCACGGTATGGTTCAGCTCTTCCGCAGTAGTAGCGCAGCGCGTACGGTCAGACGTGCAAGCTCAATGGCTCGTCAGCAGCAGCAGCAATAGTAGTAGTAATAGCAGCAGCGCGCCGTACATATCTCAACGGCAGATTGTATACCACGCACATTTCGCTTCTCTCTCTCTCTCTTTTTACTCTCTCGATTTCAGTCAACGCTCTGAACGATGATGATGGACGTATCTACTTTCAGGAAGCTTTTGCGCTCCCCCCACTTGAACTCAGCTCACCCCCGTCGAGTGCACCACACGATATAGTACGCGAACGACAAACAAACGAAAAAAAAATAATATGAACGTCACTCACCTGACTTCGGCGCTGGCCTCGCCGCCGGGATTGGACGAGGCGCAACGATAGACGCCGCTGTCCTCGAGGGTGACCGCTTCGATGGCCAGCACCGGTCCCAACAGTCTCGTCCTAGGCCCGGGCAACACCAGCATCGGCTCGGCTCCCGTTTGAGCGTACCATCTGTAACACAGGCGTGCACAGAAATCCATCATTGATAAATGTAGGTCACGTGTGTGACGCCGAAGCGCCGAGAGCAAATAGCTTTGACATGCTCGCGACAGAGAGGCTGCTGTTGGTATTTATGGATAGAGAAGAGCGCCCGGTCAATATACATATAGAATATATCGACGAAAGCGTGTCACGGACAGTCGTTGATGTTGTGTACGTTATATCCTCCGATCGCGCGAAACTACAACAAAGAACGTAGTCACATATAGTACGTACCTGTACTCGGGCGTGGGACAGGCCTGAGCCACACAGACGAGCGACGTAGACTCGTCCTGGCCTACGTAGACGTTCTCCGAGTGATCCAGTATGATGGGCGGCATCACACCCCGATGATCGGCTATCCTCACGTTGGCGACCGAGCTCACCACCACTTGGTGCGTCAGCCTGTGCATGGTGCGGCAGCGATAGCCCGGCACCTGGTCGGCGAACTCCAGGCCGTGCACCAGGAGCTCGCCCGTGGGCAGCAGATGGAACTTGCCGTCGCCCTGCAGCGACGGATAGATGTAGAAGGCCGGCTCCTGCAGCCAGCTGACCACCTTCACGAGATCGCGGACGAAGCTCGGCACGACGCACCTGAGCACGGCCGTGCAGCCGCGCGAGGCACCTCCGATCACCTCGACCTCCACTTTGTACGCTTGGGCCACGACTATAGAAAGAGAAGAGAAGTAAAAAGAACAAATGACATTTTAGATATCGCATTTTCTCTACATTTGTATGATCGCGGCTGCGGGTATGCCACCGCGACGGCACGTCCAACTTATAAAAGCAACTTTTTTCGCTGCGCTGCGAGCTCCCTCGAGCTCCTCCGCAACTCTTTTATGCAATATTATACGACTCTCGCGCTCGAGTTCTTCGGATCGCGCGATGTTTGCTCACTGCTGCTACCCGCTAGGGTCCCGAAGTTCTTTTCCGTATTCATACCGTTCATTAGCGCGACTCTCTCGTGCAGCAGCAGCAGCAGTAGAGTTCGAAGGAAAAATAAAAAAGCGCCAACGTCGCCAACTTTTTTATACACTCTGCTTGTCCGGAGCGAGAGCAGCAAAACGCGCACCGCGTCGCAGGCCGCTCCATCGTCGTAGTCAACGTCGTCGTCGTCGTCCCGCAAATTCTCGATTGATTTTCTCGCCTAGTTTTTTATCCCTCTTTTTTTCATTGCAGCTGCTACTGCAGCTACAGCGCCCTCAGTTTTTTCTCCCTTTCTACTTCTTCTTCTCCGTCGTTGCGAAAAACCCGAACGTAGCGTCAGTAATCGCACGAGTCAATGATTCTTTTACGGGTCGTTCCTTTTTTTTCTCTTTGCTTCTTCGTTCGCTTCCATCCACAGCTCGAACTGCTGTACTACGACACGTATCTAGCTCTCGACTCGAACGCGAGATTGAATTTGCGTTTCTCGTGGTAAGGAAAAGCAAATTGATTCCTCTGCACGCGGTCAAACGCGCTTACACGGAAATCGATCCTCGAGCTCAAAAAATGTTTCCCGAACTTTTTTCATTTCTTCCGTCTTTCGAATCGTATGAGATATGGTAAAATAATGTGTACTCACCAGCTCGAACCTGGACGTCGCGGCTGAGCACTCGGCCCACGGAGTTGCTGGCGACGCATCGGTAGGTGGCGCTGTGCACATCCTGCCTGTAGGCCGAGGCTGGGAAGGGCAGCAGCACGAGGGTGCCGTTCTTGAGGAGGCGTCGGATGCCGGGCACCTCGAGGGCCGGCAGACCGTCGGCCGTCGACCAGTCGACGTTGGGCGGCGGACTGCCGGTGGCGGCGCAGTCCAGCCAGGCGCCGCTCGAATTCGAGAACTCGACCCTCGAGGCTGGCTCGATGAGGAAGCTCGGGCCGCGCTGGTGCGCGTCGAAGCCTCGGCTGCAGCTCGCGATGATCAGCAGCAGTACGCCTGTGTAACAACGAAACAATTACGATGACGATACAGCTTGACTCAGATACCAACATTATAGAGAAGGTATTTGGAGCGAATTGAGTTTTCAATAGTTGCAGGGGTGTTGCGTGTGTGCGCACGAGGCTGGAGCTCGCTCGAGCATAATGCAACAAGTTACAACACGACGACGGCGGCTAAACGAAATTTTCCAAGTCCCCGCTATATGTATGGCGAATGCTTACAGGCTTACCTAGTGGCTCTACCCACGTATATGCGTGTATGCTGTATGTGTGCTGGGTGGGTAAAGGTAGTATACTACCGCGGAGACGCGGGCAACAAGTCTGCTGTGCTGTGCTTGCGATAGAGAGAGAGAGAGGACCGGAGCGACAAAACTTTATCGGCCTCGGGCTGTTTGAAAAACTTGCCAACTTATATACACGAAGGCAGGAGGGAGATTTACTGTGTCGTGGGGAGCTTATGTACTCTTTCTCTCTCTCTCGCTTACTCTTCGTGTGTATTCTCGTCTTGTATTCTTATTTCCAGCGAGGTTGCCGCTGCTCGCTGGTGTACGATCTATATACATAAACAGACTATACAGAGCTCTAGGCCCCGCCGAACGCGGGAATAAATTGCGCCTCGGAGTTCGCGAGAGCTGCGCGGAGGGATAAATCGACAACTTTTCCTATTACTTTTGCTGACGCTCGCGCTAATATTTGTTTTCCGTTGCATCTCTTTCGCCCAGGCCCCCCCTCCTCGCTCAAAAACTTACTCCGCATAATATATATACAAGCGAGTACATAATATTTTATGAATAAATCCAGCACGCGTCAAAAGGCTTTGCACCGCTACACGTAGCGTATAAGCGTCTCTCTTCATTACTAAAAATTTTCAAAAATGATCCTCGCGTAGTAAACAAAAGCGGCGCGGGGAATGCATCGCTCAACAACGACGACGACGACGTGGCTTCTGATCCTCGCGGGGCTGTTGCCTCCTGCTGCTGCCTGCAGCCAGACGCATCCAGCAGGCGCCGCCAGTGTGGCGGGGCGCATCGCGAAAGGATCAAAAGTTTCGCAATTCGCTCGTTAAGAGGCTTATTATAGCCCCCCGACTCGAGCGAGAGCTTGCAATCGCTCGGCATGGGTTGAAAAGAGAGAGAGAGAGAGGAGAGAAAGAGCCGCAAGTGGTTACATGCCATTCTGTGCATAGCTATATATAATACGACACGCGATAGTCGGCGCAGCTATTTTGGAAAGTGCAGGCAGTGTATGGATATGTGAGGGAATGTCTCGTTGGCTATATATTACCACTGCGCTGCAACGTCGCGAGGCAGGCGCGACAGAGAGACAGAGTTCAACGATCTGTCACTCGGCATGCTCCATCTCTCGCTCTCTCGCGCGATATCGATCTCTCATATATACATGTACGTACGTATAACGTATATATATCTATATACACATGCACGAAGGCTCGAGGCTTCCTCGGAGCGATTCCCAATGTGTATCCAGCAACGTGTATATAATGAGAAAAGGCGCGCATACCGCAGGCACAACAGCAGCAGCAGCGGCGGCATAGATAGATACGGATTGGCAAGTCAATGGCCTCGCTGAGAAATGCAAAACACAAGCTCTATATAACATGGAGAAAGAAAGAGAGAGAGAGAGAGAGAGAGAGAGACACGCTTGCAAGGAGCTGCCGAAGCGAGAGAGAAGGAGAGTCGAGCTTGCGATAAATTGAAGGTTAATTTAAGCGCGTCGAAGCTGTCAAGAGTCTTGAGACTCTATATATGCCTTCCTCTCTCTCTTTCTCACTCACTCGCTGTATACCGTTGTTGAAATCTCAGGGATACAACGTCGTCTTCGGAGCAATGCTCCGCCGACTGACTCTGCTGCTGCTGCGCTCGGAATATGATTGGAAAGTTATAGCGATTAGATAAGAGCTCGTGTGCAAATGAACTGGTCTTCTCCTCCTTTGCCTCTCTCTCTCTCTCTCTCTCTCTCTCTGTCTTTCTGCAGCCTGTTCGGTGCAGTTGCAAGAAAATCAATCTTCAAAGAGAGCAAACGAGAATACGAGCGGCGCTAGCTGGCAGACGTCTCTTTCTCTTATTCTGAATGCGTCTTCATCTCGCCCGTCTACATTATTCAAAGCCGTACATATATACGCAGAGAGACAGATATACATTGTATGTGTGTGTGTGTGTGTATGTGCATGGGTATTATATGACCGTATACTCGTGGCGCGCCCGTACGTGCGACTCGACGTGGCCTCTCTCTGTGCTAGGCTACATACATATACCGTGTCTCACTGTTTATTTCGTGCCACTGTCGCTGGCTGCTGCAGTATTATTCCTTTGCGCACGACAGATACAAGAGAGAAAACGTAAAAAGACTTGGACAGTACTGCTGCATGCCCTCCTGCAGTGTGTGTGTGTGTGTGTGCGGGCAGCAGCTCTGTGTTATACATAGGAGGGTCTACAGCAGCCCCTACGAACGTCTGATGTCCAAGCAAAGCCTCTCTGGTCCTGTGTAAACACCTCGATGTATATATGTACTGCCACTGCCATTGCTACTGCTGCTGCTGCTGCTGCCTGTGCTGCAGTCAACGACTTTCAGGAGTCGCGTATACTAAAGCTCCGAGTCGTCGTCGCCGTAGCGTCGTTTGTAGTGGCCTCTCGAGTACGCGTAAAATGCAATTTTTCAGTGTGGGCGGCTATGCACTGCGTCTGATCGTATAATATATTATACGTATGAAAAGAAAAGGGCAAAATCGATCTCGGAAGACGCAAAGCGCCCCCCGATTATAAATGCGCGAGCTGACGTAGACTCGACGTCGCCCACCTATACTTTTGATCATCGGCTTTCAAGAGACAATTAGGGACTTTGTTACTGATCGTGCAGCAGTAGAAGCACATACGTATTATTCGTGAAAATTATTCGCTCAGCCAAGGAGAAGAAACGAGCCGAGTCTCGTCGGGGAAGAGGACTACGAAGATGACGACGACGACGACGACGGCGCTAGGGTGAGCTTTACTTTCAATGCGCAGTATATACGAGAGCACGAACAGCAGCAGTAGCAGTAGCTGTAGCAGCCCCACCCGCCCGCAAGTAAGAAGAAGCCGAGCAGCAGTAGCAGCAGCAGCAGCAGCAAAAGAAGAAGAAGAAGCACTCAAGAGAGCCGCGCCTCGGGGGGTCATTGTACCTCTCCGCGCGCGCGAGCGAGCGACTATGCTGCTACTGCTGCTGCAGAGAGAAAAGCTGTGCAGCAGCAGCAGCTGAAGGGGTGGGGTTTATAAGAGGAGCTAGAGGCGAAAAATTTAGCAGTAATCTCTCGAGGCATGCCTGCCTGCCTGCCTGCCTGCCTACCTATCTGCCTTGCTTGCGACTCTGTGCAGCACAGCTCGTGGACTGTGTAGCTGTTGCCGAGGAACGAGAGTGAGCTAGCGAGCGAGCGTGGGCCAAAAGGCGGGAGGAGTACGTGGGGGAGAAGAGACCGGCCGTGCCAGTGGCGCAAAGCAATTCTACCGCAGCCTCCAACGATGCTCGCTTTATGGTCTTTCTTCGCTTTAGAGATATGTCTACACAGCTCGACGATGCACACGGGCAGTACAGCAACTCCTCCGACCCTCCCCTGGCTCGCGTAGTTGTGCCATCAAACCAGTCTTATAGCAGTAGCTCTATGCTTTGTGTGCTGAGAGAGAGAAAGAGAGAGATTCGTCCTTTCATCGCGAGCCAAGACGACGACGACGCTGGGTACACGGCGGAGCTATCCCTCATTATGCTCGGCGCTCACGCGAGCATATAAAACAAAGATGAAGCCGGCTCGTCGTCGAGAGTAAAGTCGGCGCAGCTAGTCATTACTCGTTGTCTATTCGAGTCCGACGACTCGCTCTCGTGCTACATATTTATTATGGGAGGCATGGAGGCAGGTAATAGTCAAAAAATCCGTAGCGGCGGTGGCCGTGCTGGTATAATATTCGCCATGGGCGCGCACCCGACACTGCACCGAGCTGGCCTAGGCCTATACAGGTGGCGCGAGGTGGTGTGAGTTTTGTATGTATACCTATATCCAGGCGAATATATTACTTTCACTGCGGCACGCGGCGCGACGAGCTAATGAAGCATGAAGCTTTATACCAGATGTGAAATATATAACGTCCTCTGTGTGCATATTGTAGCAGGGCTAGGCTGTGGTGGTGGGATCAGCTGCGCGACACTATTGTACATCGTTGGCGTAGATCTATATACATTGCACTGTTGCAGTATCACGCAGAGCATGCAGAGAGAGAGAGAGAGAGAGAGACAGAAAGTCAAGCTCGAACGTATCGCGTCGAATTAATCGAGCGCTCGACATGGCATATAATACCTGCTCTCTTGTAACTATAGCTATATCTATACGCCCGATAGGTATATACCGCTCACACGGTTGAGTGTGTAGACCACTGCAGCATGAGCCAATCCGGCCCTGGGTACATTCTGGTTATTATATAGGTACAAGCTCATAAATGAGAGGATCCAATACGCGTATGAGAGCGTTCATGCACACATCTATCTCTCTCTCTCTCTCTCTTTCTCTCTCTCTGCCTCTGCTTCCTCTCTTCCTCGTTAATATAACGCTACTGAAAGAGAAAGCAGCCTCGCATGTGTGTGTGTGTGTGTGTGTGTGTGTGTGTGTGTAAATGTACGTGTGTGGCATCGGCAAAGTCACTCACAAGCTCTCCCTCATCATACACTTCGAAATCTTCTTTAAATTACTCGCTAGTCGGGTATACAACATAGGTACAGCTGCAACAGATAGTAAGCGAGCGCTGCAAGCACGAGAGTATATAGAGCTTACTCGATGCTCGGGAGGGCGGGTGCGCGCAGCAACTCTTCACTTACATCGCGATGTGCAGTAGCAATAGGTGCAGTTGAAACGAACAAATTGTCACAAAGTCTTTTCTCCCCTCTTTCCCCCCCTCGATGACTTTTTTTCCTCCTTCTTCTTTTTTTTTTAGTCGTTTTTGCTTTTCTCTGTGGCGCTGC